TAAGCCTTGCAAAAGAAAGAACACAACGAAAAAAACAACAGCGTTAAGGACACGATAAAAGCGCTCGCGCGAGTGTCGGTAGTAGAGCAACAAATTCAATTCCGACTTTATGAGATGTATCGCAGGTATTCGCAGACTCGGCTAATCTTCAAGCGAAGATTCGACGAGATAATTACACATAAAGAAATTTTAGACAATCAATTTTTTTTTTTTTTTTGATAAAATAACACGTCCGTAGATTAAAGATACTTGGTCAATTTCGCAAAAGTTAAAAATTGTTGATATTATTTTTAATATCAAAGATATTGGGTTTATTTATCGACGCTACATCTCAATCACCTGATCTTAGATTATTATCATCAATTAACTCAGACGGACGCAAAGTCGCTACGAGAAAATTGAAAATTCGCTCTTGTCGAAAGCTCGATGCGTCCCTCGGAAAAAGAATTCGAGAAAGCTATTTTAGACAAATAACGAAAGCTCGCGGAAAATACAATAATAATTCACACGAGGAACATCATAAATTCCAAGGAACTACTATAAATTTCTAAGAATCTAATTTGGGATAAGAGGGATATTGAAAGTCAGTTCTTATCAAGCTGCCAAACAATGTTTCTACCAAAGCACTCGTTGCTGAAACAATATGTACAAACATTACTTTGTTTGCCGCAATCCTACAGACTTAATTCGGTTTTGTTATGTGAAACATGAAGAGAGAAACTCACACAAATTTAACAGATTAAACTAAACAAAAAAACCTTCTGCCTTATAGAAATAACTTATCATCACAAATTCTAAAGGGAGATCTATAATTCGACTACCAGAAATATATTTAAAGAGGCAAAAATTTGTCTTCCTAAAGCAAAAAATTTCACTTGAATATTCTTGCTACAATATTCTTCTCTTATACATATATATATATATATATTTTCAATATTATTCGAAAATGTTTAAAGTTTCTCAAAGAACTAGCGAATGAGAAAATCAGCACGCCAGTTGTCTCCTATTACAAAAAAACGTTCACATTTACAAAAACCTATTACAAAAAATGTTCACATGTTTATTTCACTTTGAGAATAACATACAATTAAGATACTCGTAATGAAAACACATATATGCGTGTAAAAATGTGGTAATGTTAATAAAAAAAAAAGAAAACGTTTTATACACATATAACGTGATATATACTCTAATATAAATAAAAAAACAACTCTAAACTTATAACAGAATATTTTTGAACAATTAAACTCTCGCTATGAAAATATCGCTGAACATTACCGATATTTTTTTTGTTTTATTGTGACAAACTAGTAGATAATCAATATTAATATTAATTATCATATAATAATAATCAATATTAATTATTTTTTGTGTATACTTAATTCTACTACCACAAATATATATACAAAAGTACTCTCTCAATTTCCTCTAACTGTTATTGAATTTGACATATATTTGTTGTCAAAAACGCATATATTGCAGACTTTTTTATTTGCTTAATTAGTCTCGCATAGTGTACGTATAAAACTGAAAAATATAACAACAATTTGACTTATCAAGTTTCTGGAACCTAACGTGTTTACATTTTATTAAGATTTGACAAAAATCATAAATCTCATAATGCGCTTATTTACGGCTCTCTCTCCAATATTCTACGTTTAAATTAAAAACAAAGAGATAGTATAGTCACACAACAAAAAATATTAACAACTAAGACTTCTGTAAATTACGGCTTAAATTTAAGCTTAAGTTTTTTTCTCTCTCTCTCTATGAGCCTTTTATTCTACATTATACGTGTTTTTCAATAATATTAAAATCTGTTTATATTTTTGTAGGAACGTTGTCGTCAATACTACGGAGCTCGACTTAGCCGCGATGTTGATAGGTAACGCGATGCCATCTATTCCTGTGCTTGTCGATGCACCACTTGTGCGGACTTGTGTACGGGCACATCTCGCAGGTGTACGCGGGCTTGGCGTTCACGCATTCGTACTTCCGATGTCTCCAGAGAGACCTTCGCACTTTGTAGCTCCTGCCACAGACTATGCACGCGTACATGCCTCTGTCACGCTGTTGAGAGTGTGCGTAATCGTAGGACCGTTTGAAGGACCACGAGGCATGAAACACTGAAACATCAACGTCAGATCGATTAATAAAAGCCACTGACTGTCTCAGACAGATATGCACAACGACGAACAAGTAGTGTCCGAGAGAGAGCCTCGGACAATTCTCAATCGATCGACATTTCGATACTGACGAATCGCCCTGGTATTGAAGGACCATCGACGGAAACTGCTGGAATATATAAATTTTCACATAAATCGTCATTTCGAATAAATGAGTATTCGAAGCGGAATAACTCGATTGATTAAGAGAGTGACGTTCTAATGTGGCACATTAGTTGCGTCGGCTAGTGCGAACAAATTTTCTCTGGAATACTTGTTCTCGACTCAATCTGTTTATATTCTTGTATAATTAAATTTAATAATTTCTGAACTTCAACGTTTGTTTGTGTGCTCGAATCTTTAGTGGTTCTGAAGATTTTCAATACATTTATAACATTTGATGCAATCAGTGCATGAATAGATTCGTTTTCGTATTAACTTTGTTTTCGTTAGATAAAAAACATGTTCTCGCTCTTGATGTTATACATTTTCCGAGAAAAAGAATATGTCTGCCATAAAGTGGTGCCAAGCCTGAAACAACAATGTTAAACAAGTAGTTAGTTAATAAAAGTTAACAAATGATTATTTTACCACAAATGTGTACGCAAATTTGTTATACAATATTTACACAATATTTCTCTCATATTACAAGTGATTAACGCTCTGGCAAAAATATTTTGTACACACATATGTACACATATATGTAGTATATAACACTTAAAAGCTTTAAATTTTAATTTAAAAAAAATAGTAAAACATATATTATCTTCTTAATTTTCAGTTTTAAAAAGAGAAGAGTGTGTGTTTTTAAAGTATCGCGAAAAAAAAAAAAATATACTACTATATATTTTAAAGTATATTAATTTTATACACACATATGAATATCGACAAAAAATTGAAATATATATTTCTATAAAACTTGCAATGTTTACGTAATATATAAAAGAGCGATAATATACATAATATAATAAAATAAACATATTGTAAATAAACATATTATCATCCACAGATCGGTTATGAAATATATAATTATAACATAACAATTATCACAGGCTAGTAAAATTGAATTTTAATGTCTCTTTTTTTCTGATGTGCGAGAATATATTCTTATTTAAAGAATATCACTGTTAATTAATTATAACATTGCACACTCTTTTTATTCTGTTCATCTTTATTATCATACTTTTTTTTATAAATACAAGTTAAAATTCGGCGTAATTTGCACGTTGTCAGAACTGAACCCAATGTAATACATTTAAGACGTATAATAGCATAAGAATTTGCTTAATTTTAAATTGGAAAATGTTTCATCCGAAGATATCATATATTCCTTGTACTCCTCTCTTGGTGGGTGAACTTGTCGTATGTGTTTGTTAAGCACGTCCTTGCGTGTAGTCTTGTATCTGCAAGCGTTACAGTACAGCATAAACGGTTTCTCACACACAGTTCTTAAATGACGTCTCAAAATCGGCATAGTTGAATAAATCTTGCCACACTTTGAACATAAATAAGAAGATTTCCCTGAATAAAAAAAAATTCTTCATTTAGCTTCAAGATCAGGTAGAATCCTGCAAAATAAGCATAAGCATGTTAAACAGAAATACTCAATTGGGATCTTTTACACATAAATTTATATTTATATATATATGTTATATATATATATAAATATACACCTTACCAATACATAAATCCAAACTAAACACTACAAATTTCTATCCTATCAACCAGTTAACATTTTGAATCTTAATTAACTCATTTATTTTATTAACATGAGTAGGGGCACAACCCATTGAAAGACCATTCGTAATTTTAAGACAAATCACAGGTATTCTATATTAGTATATTATTACATATATATGTATATTTATTCGACAAAAATGTTACAAAATTTTTCAAAGAAAAATCATGAATTTCAATTTTTTTCCATTCAATATTATTACATATTTATTCGGGAGCTAGAAAATAAGAAGAATTTGTATTAACGCAGTCATTTTTATTGATATATATATATAATTTCTCTATATCAATTATAATATATTTTTACACAAATAACGTACACAATTATATATTTATATACATATGTTTATAATTGATATAAACCTAAATGCAAATCAGTGGCGTAGTAAGAAAAGACAGCGTCCGGGGCGGTCTTTCTTCCCCGTGATTTTCTTATTAGGTTATTCTGATAATGACCACTCAAATAACTAACAGTTCTTTTAAGTTAGCTCAACATCTTTTTATTTTGCTCAACATCTTTTTATTTTACACTTTTACTTTGTTTTATATGTAACGTCAAATCATATAAAAAAATAAACAATAAGGTCTAAATTTTAAATAAATTTGAAACTCTTTTAATAAACTAAATGTTTTAAAATAAACGAAAATTGCTTAAATAAACTACATTGCAATATAAATAACAAAATATTATTTATTATATAAATATTTAAATTTTAAGTTTGCGAGCTTTGATGCTTGCAAATTCTTTAATAACATCTGAAAAATCAATCTGTTTTGTTGCATCTCGTTCTATAAAGAGCACCGCAAGCCCATTTAATTGCATCTGACTCATAGTTGAACGAAGGTAAGTTTTGATTAGTTTTAACTTCAAAAATGTATAATAGACGTTTTGCCGTTTTGACAGAAAAGCTAATCCCTGTGATTGCAAATTACAGTTTAACCTTTTTGCTCCGGGGATTTTTCCTTTAAAATTGACCTCGCATTTTAGCTGAAAAAGTTAATAATAACCTGCTACCCCCCCCTTCAAAGTTAATTTTGAAGGTCAAAGAAATAACCAGGATTTTTTTCAATTTTTTTCCTAAATTTAGTGCATTAAATTGACCTTATAAACATCTATTACGTTCGCTTTTCTTGCTGGTCCATATATGGACCAGTCCCGGAGCGAAAAGATTAAATATTGTCAAAATCTATTATTGTACTATTATGTTGATACAAGAGGACGGTTCCTTTAAGTATCCTCTTAAGAATAAGTAAGAAAAAACAAAACAGTCTTTCCATTCTATACTAAAAACTATAATAATATTAGATTTAAAAAACGCCAAATTCTATAAAAAGACACTTCGTATCTTTATTACGCAAGTAATCGGAAAAGTAAAACTATAATAAATAAAATTTTTTTAATTAAATAACGCTTGAGCTTCAAGCAATAAAAATGCGTTTACATGTTATTCCATTGCGCCCTTGTTAAGACGGCACCCGGGGTGGATTGCCCTCCTCGTCCCTCCCTTACTAGGCCACTGATGCAAATATATTTTCAAATCTGTAGATTAACTTAATCTCATAAGATTTTTTCTAATAAATTTTACATTGGATATTAAGTAAATCTGAAACAACTTATATTATATGATACTCCAAAAATTCGACGTTATTTGTAGATCGCCTTACTACTAATTCGAATATTTTAATTTTTTCTAATTTTTTTAAATAAAAAAAAAACTTTGCTTAGTTGTTTCAAATTCGACTTATTTAAAAAACCTCTTAATGTGTCGTCATATTTTACTTCTTTAAAATACTGCTAAATTACAAAAAATAATTAGGAGACTGTAGATGCGTAAAGAATAGTAAAATACTATTTAATTATTTTTAAGCTTAAAAAAATAATGCAATAAAAAAAAATTATTAAAAGAACAATGACATATCTTTTCAAAGTCGTGAGACAACAAAAAATAATTGTACAGAAAAGACTCGCTCTTTTTTACTGTTTCGTAGTTTCGTCGAAGTTCGCGCGATGAAAGGTCTTCATGTGTCTGCGCACGCAAAAGGAATAATTGCTGTGAAAGTCGCAGAGTTCGCAGTGGAACTGCACGGTGTCGGTGCTGTGAAGATTTCTAACGTGTCTCTCCATGTTGGCCTTGTACATGCTCTTGTACGGGCAGAAGGCACAGGCGAACTGCGTGCCGCGCGGGTTCATCTTGCAACCGAATTGCAGATGCTTCTTCAGCTGGTTCTTCGGCGCAAAGGTTTTCTTACAGAACGGGCACGTGTATTGCTTGGGCGTGTCGGATGAAGAATCGTACGCGTCGACAATGTCTTGTATGTTCCATTCGGAGATGTCTGAAACAGACGAGAAAATCTGCGATGTAGTCCGTGTTCGCCACGCAAAAACACAATCCGCGTAGAAGAAAAAACCTATTGTCCGATTGTCGTAGACATGTGTTACGTACATACCATAATTCGCTGATATAAATAAAAGATGAATTGTACGCATCGATTGTGTTACAAGTTATCTCGAGATATTGATTAATTTGTTTCGAAAAGAGACCGTGTCTGATGCTCTTTAAAATAAAAGTGGAACGAGAACACAAAAATAGCAATCAAATTTTCCCAAATGTAAATAGAATCCGCAGTATCTGCAAAAAAAGAAAAAATTAAATAAAAATAAAAACATCGGCTATAAAAGTTGACCTGATCGCAAAACTAGCGCGCCCCCTAATTGCTCCATTTATGTTATTAGATTGAGAACGAGAAATAATTTATGACTTTTGTCAAAAAAAGAAAACGAGGTTTTTTCTTTGGTTATTGGCAAATCGTTGAAACAAAATTTTTGGTAATATCCAAGTAGTACTGCAATTACTTCATGATATTTTTATTGAAGAAAAACACCAAATATATTTATGTTATGTGTGAACTGCGATATTATCATCCACAAATCGGTTATAAAATATATAATTATAACATAACAATTATCACAGGCTAGTAAAATAGAATTTTAATGTCTCTTTCTTTCTGATGTGCGAGAGCATATTCTTATTTAAAGAATATCACTGTTAATTAATTATAACATTGCACACTCTTTTTATTCTGTTCATCTTTATTATCATACTTTTTTTTTATAAATACAATTTAAAATTTGGCGTAATTTGCACGTTGTTACGATTGAACCCAATGTAATACATTTAGGACGTATAATGGCATCATAATTGCATAAGAATTTGCTTAATTTTAAAGTGGAAAATGTTTCATCCGAAGATATCATATATTCCTTGTACTCCTCTCACGATGAGTGAACGTGTCGTACGTGTCTGTTAAGCACGTGTCTGTTAAGCACGTCCTTGCGAGGAGTCTTGTATCCGCAAGCGTTACAGTACAGCATGAACGGTTTCTCACACACGGTGTTTAAATGACGTTTTAAAACCGACATCTTTGCATAAGTTTTGCCGCACTTTGGACACAAATAAGATTTTCCCGAATCCAAAAATTCTTCATCTTGCTGCACGGTCAGGTCGGATCCTACAAAATAAGCATAAGCATGTTAAACAGAAATATTCAATTGGGATCTTTTACACATAAATTTATATTTTTATATATATATATATATGTTATATATATATACATATATTACATATATATGTACATTTATTCGACAAAAATGTTACGAAATATTTAAAAAAAAAATCACGAATTTCAATTTTTTTCAATATTATTACATATTTATTCGGGAGCTAGAAAATAAAAAGAATTTGTATTAACACATTTTTATTGGTAAATTAGATTTCTAATTAAAAGCGTAAAATATATTCTAAAAATACGAAAGTACACAATATAATAATTTTCGCAAATTGACGGTGAGTGCTAATGTTAAATTTATATTACACACACTAAAAATATGATTAAAAGTACTGTTGATATAACAAATGGCAGTTTTGATAACAATACTTTGCCACTTTGAGTGTAAGAAAGTGTAACATATAATTATATATAGTATGCACAAGAAATAAAAGTTTTAAGTTTTAAATCCTGGAAAGAAGAATTTTATAAAAAACATAATTTTCCTTCTTTCTTCTCGACAAAATATTATACAATTTAAACATCTATATATAATACACATTATTACTTATAAATATATATACAGTAGAAATGTATATTATATTTAATAGAAACTTAATGTATATTATATTTAATAGAAACTTAATGTATATTATATTTAATAGAAACTTAATAGCCCTTCTGATACACGTCATCCAATACATTATGTGTGTGTGCGCATGTATGTATACGTGTATGTACAAGCGCACGAACGAACAAATAATATAAAATTATCATTTTTGGAGAGATTTGTAGAAATATAATTATGGAAAGGAAAAAGGAAAGGGGTTCTGCTCTGAGACTTTCATTTCCATATTATGTTCTTCTTTCTTCTTCTTTCTGTTTTTCTTTTGTCACATATTTTTATTTTTACAGTTTATTTTATTTATAATTCCAATTATAAATATTTTGTTTCATCTACTCTGTCTATGTAACAATTCAATTTCGTAAAATCGTTTCTGTTTTCAAGTTTTTACGGTTGCCCGCTCTTTCTAACCGAGCGCCCGTGTTCGCGCACAATGTGATACTTTAGCAAAGTAGGTATTCTCGCTCTGTGAGAACAATGTGGGCAGGGATAAAGCGGCTCCATTTGACAGAAGTAATTCATGTGCCTTCGTAAGCTTCGCCAGTTGCTGTACCGTTTGTTGCACTTTAGGCAGGAAAGCTCGTTTCGGCAGTGTATCCAAACGTCACGTGGCAATCCGTCGCAGAATTTTCGTCTCTTGACTGAAACACGATCAGAGCGTTATGTAAGCAAAAAATGTCAAGTAAATAAGATTATAAACGTATTCACAGGATAGGAAAATAAGCATTTATATTTTATCAAGCTGCTATATATCAAGCGAGCTCGACGATATCATATTTCTTCTTTAGCCTTGCGACTTTCTTTTTATATTTCCGACCTATTTGCATTCACATTTCTAGAAAACAATTTCCTTATGTTTTCTGATACAATAATTTTGTCTGTCCCTGATACATCTCAAGATGTTCGATCTCGCGAAGCGGGAGATGAAACATTTTGCATGTACAGCAGACAATGCGATGCGAATAGATCGGGATGAAGAGAAAAATTCTAATATAATTTTAATCAACAGAATTTCCAATTTGAGTATTTTAAAAAGGTGATTCAAAAATTGGTATCCGAGTAGTTTGGAAAGGTAATTTGAGAGTTTTCTTGCAAAGATTTCTTTGTCTTCGTGTACCATCGTCGAGATATTTGGATCGAAGGAAGTTCGAGTAACATCCGTAAGGAATACTGCGAAGAGATTGAAGTTTCATCCCGGAAGTGTGTTACAGCTTACGTCGTGTGCATCCATTTCTTGACACGTCCGATCAAAACCCCCGGAAGCTCAATGAAACAGCGGAACGCTGGATGTGAGTAAAACCGTGTGACTTTATTATGCACAAATAACATTTACAGAACAATGACAATAGTGCCATAAATTATATTCCCTTTTTATAGTAAGATATACATTTGTCACATGTACTATGTGTGTGTAACATATTGATTATAGAAACGAATATTGTGCAAATTTGGATCTACATGCAAATACGACGCGCGATTGTTTTTCTTTTCTTGTTTATTCTCTATATTTATTTTATATTTTATACAGGGAAGACCGGGATAAGATGGCACATTGTCCTTTTACATCTCGATATTTGTTCAACAAAGAAGAAGGTAACATATTCTCCAAAAAACAAATGCGCTTTCTTGTATACTTTTCGAAAGTGGAATAAATATTTATAAAATTAAATATCTTCCATTCAATTTTTATGCTTTTATCAAATTTTATTCATTCCAATGATTGTTAAGTTATTAAATAAGTCTCGATGTGTATATCAACATATTATGAAAAAACTTTAAAACGTAACATAGCTATTTTATAATGGTAGTTTTAATTTAGAAAAATTCCTTGAAAAAATTGTTTTTGTTTAGAAACTTTCATTCGTAAACTTCAACAAAAATCGCTTAATAAGAAAAATAGATTAAATGTATAATCAACAAATTGAAATAAATTATTATATACAATTACCAAATAAAACGTTTTGGTACTAAAAAAAACTAACTTATTACTGACTGACTGACTGACTTGTGTCAACTGGTTCCGGTTTTCCCCCCACTTTTTTTTAATCGTTAATCCTAATCAAATGCGACACGTCAATAAAAAGTACACAATTTGTCGCGTTTGCGCGCATAAGATTACAATACAATAACAAATGGATCGAAAATTTTCCACAATTTTCGAATAATAATCACAGCCAAGACAACCATTTGTTAATTAAGTTCCAATTCGTCGAAAATTATATAAAATCTACATGTAGCATATTCTCAAATGAATAAACGCTCGATAAATTTCAGTCGCACTCGTGTCGTAAACGCTGATGAGTCTCTTAAGTGCACCATCGTGTATCTTATTCTAAACTACCTAAATCCCTTCCGTTATATCAATGAAGTAGATAATGCAAAAAAAGTCTGAGCAATTAATACCGACACTAAAAAACAATGGCAACTCGAGAAAAAATAGAAAACGTGTGGTCATGTGGGATTATATATAAAAAAAGTCGAGTATGGTATATAATCATGTAAGATTTTATATAAGTCCGATGTGATTTTATGTTATCATATAAAAATCAAATCCGAAATTTGACGCAATTTGATTGTAATCTTAGGTGATTACATGTTTCTATTTTTCCTCGGGAAGAGAAAAAACGCGCGTATTCTAGTCTCACGCTATTTTATAGCAACACGCGTATAATCCGCGACCGCTACTAGAGTTGTCGCAACAAAACCTCACTTCTCACCTCGTTACAACAAAAACTCACTCAAAATACGCACGGAATTGTCGACTTACTTCTAAAAATTCTTCAAACCAACACATCTGTGCATCAAACGCAGGAAAAACAGAAGAAGAAAGCTAGATAAAACTATAAGCGATAAAACTTGTTCTATTTGTTCTGCATTATGTATGTGTGTGTGTGTATGTGTGTTTGTGTGTCAAACGTAAGTGATCCTTGCATTAATAACACATTTGAAAAAAAAAATCAATAGCAAAGCACGTGTTATAGCATCATTGTATCGCACTTTACGGAATGCGTGCATTACAAACAACTACACATTACATATAAGACACTTTAAGAAATGTTCGTCTGATCTTCGTCTTCTATCTCGATCTTGCAAATTTTTCCTTCCTTTTCACATTTTTTTCCTCTTTTGGTTTTTCGCTTGCAACGTAACGCTAACAAAATAGATAGTGAACACTCGTAACGTTACGTAAACGCGTGATTTTGCGTAAGAGAAACGTCGATTTCTGCGTAGTGACTTCAAGAGATTCTCATCCCATCTTCAAGCTTTCATCATTAACACAAGTCTAGACGTTATGTGTCTGTTGATTGAAAAAAGAGAAAATTTTGAATTTCTGCACGTTCGTGTTAATTAGGTTTTGTCGAAGACAACAAGAAGTTTTTATTTTGTTGAGATTCTGTATCTTTTCTCTCGAAATGACTGCCACATTTGCTTTTGTCCTGTTCTGTCAATGATGAACAGAATTGCTCACATAACAGAAAACACTAAATGTACACAACACAAAAAAATATACAGTCTCCACTTGTGAGTTAGACGACGTGAGTGAAATAAGAAAAATATCGTTTTTTTTGTTTTTTTTTATATTCTTTCCAACTAGCGTTGTTTCAGCACTGTCTAACGTGAAAATGGACATTGACATGTAAGAAGAACAGCGTTGATAAAAATATATATATATCTTCTCTGTGAAGAAGAAACAACTTGCTCAGCGTAAGAGGAGACTATATACTGCACATACATGTTACCGAGACTATACATTTGCTCCTAGATTTTAATTTTGTGTGTCGCGAACGCATTCTTTTCAATTACTAATATTTTATTCAAAAATAATGCGTCAATAAAATTCTTAAATGTAAAATTTAAAATATATTTCAACGCGAAAAAAGAAATCGTTGCAAAATTAAGAACAAAGATTTTTAGTAAGTAAAACAAGAAAAAAGAAACAATTTAACAATAAAATGACAACTAGTCTAATTATAGAGCTGCTAAACGTAACAAACTAATGAAGACACTATATTCCATACTGAGAGGCAAAGTTACATTGCTTCATTCATGTTCAAGAAATGTAATTATCTAATTTAAGCTCTGATGTCTTTCGATATCTAAACTCTTGTACGGGTTTATCTCGAAAAATTAACATTCGGACGATATTCTCAAGTGTGTTAATTGTCATAAGAAAAGTCAAGAGTTATTGTTAGAGACAAGAGAAAAATACGTTTAAAAAAGTTTAAAAATATATTGACTCTATTGACTTTTTTTTATAACAATTAACACACTTGAAGACCGTCCGAATTTTAATTGTTTGAGACAAACCCGTTTGTAAAAGTGCGAGACACTTACTACATAACAAAACCTTTTTTACAAGAAAGAACTCGCTTTCTGCTCTAAAATAGTCCAAAGATTTCACTCTCTTACTAATAGACAAGAAAATTCAATTCCTAATCAATCTTAAGGCTCATTTTATCGATAAAGTTTTTTTTTTCATCTGAGGAACTATTACTTTTTTTGAAGTAGCACTTTTTTCATCAATCTCCTTCGATCACCAAATTAATTTTTTTTTTTGTTTTTTTTGTTTTTTTTTAATGATAATTACGTTTTTACAATCTCACCATCAGTCAATTTCGGGTATTGTTTATAAGAAATTATCGTAGTGTCACCTGTCAATGATAACCACTTATTGTAATCTGCCGTTTCAGATTTCTCTTTCGGCGGATTTAGTCTATCATAAATTGGTATCGGTATATATTTTGAATACAATGTAGAAGTTGTTGAGACGATTCCATTTCCGTCGGTATAATCAGTTTTATGTACGGTTGCTCTCTGCTTGTCGCTCAAAGAAGTAGATCGACTGCTACATCTGCTAACAGATTCGAAGGGCAACTGTTGATTCGGATACGTCTCTGTTGTCTTCTTTGTCTTTTTTCCCTGCTTCGTCTTTTTTGTTTGCGGATCTGCGTTGCTCTTCATTTTTTTCTTGTGTATATTTTCAATATGTCTATTCAGTATAAAGGGGTAACCGAATGACTTGTCGCAGTCGAAGGGACACTTGAACTTAGGCTTGTTCTTCTTGTGGTCTTGATTTTGATGACGCGTTAGACTCCCTTTAAGTTTATATCTTTTTTTGCAGAATTTGCAAGCAAACTTATATTCGAGATTTCCTATCTTGCCGCAAATATTGTCATTGATGTGACGATTCCTAGAGTATTCGCACGCGAACGTTTTATCGCATTTAGAACAGACAACCTTGGCTTGCGCGTTGGAGCGAGCCGATTCGTTAGAGATGATGAAATCAGTTGAGACCGGCACCGGGAAGATCGGCGAAGAGTAGTGAGTGAATGACTTGAAATAATCGAATCCTGAGTTTATACCTGAAAAATTAAAACAAAAGCGTTAAGGAAGATCGTGGTGGAGGATCGGGGCTTTAGAAAAGGCGGGAAAGGCTTTAGAAAGAGAGAAAAAAATGTTTTATTATGGTTTGAAAAAGAAATGATCGAGAACGGATAGAAAGGTATGAAAGACTCGAACTCCGAGAAGTTTTAGCAAACGGCTTGATGGGTTTGTTGTGTGATAAACACTTTAAAGAAATATATGCATGAATATTTGAATCGAACGAGAACCTCAGGCTTCATCCACAACGATTGCAAATTGTAGATCGTACGCGAGTTGCAAAAATGACGTCGTAAGAAGTTGCAGTCGCAAAATTCCCGGAAGTGATCATTTTTGCGATTGCTATTCTTCTCCTTATGATTACAACTCTCATACGATCGAAGACCCGCAACCATTGTACATGAAACCTCATTGGTAATAGAAGAAACTCTGAAATCAAAAGATAGACGGAACGTAAACACATGCGTGAGAACGCATGAATAGCTTTTAAAATTCAACAACGCATGGTATAGAAAGGATAAGTAAAAACTCGAAAAAAAAGAGAGAGAAAAAGAGAGAGAGAGAAAGAAAGTCAAAGAGATTTAATGTGCAAATGTCGATGATAGCGAATGTAGCAGGAGAAGAAAGGAAGGGAAGAACAAAAGAAAAGATATATTTTAATAAGTTTTATACGTACACGTTGGTAGCGATACGAAGGACGTATAGCTGCCAGTATATTTACGATGTCAAAAAGAAAATTATTTAGATACGATGTATGGCATATAAAGAGATTTAAAGAATATATGGCATATAAAAAGATTTAAAGAATAAAGATTTAAATACATAAAAATTATTTACAATCTTTTCGATAATTATATCGAGTGAAACGATTATCAAAAAAATATTATCTCTTCAATGTGGTAGTCGTATCAAAGATTGTCGGGCATGGAAGCAACATATGATCTTGATGTCTCGTTATGATTGATCAAACAGATCTTTATTGCATGCGTCTCCTCTTACTATAATTTGTTGTTTTATGTTGCATATAGAGTAAGGATAAGTACGAAGTGCGTTAACAGCGTCTACAATTTTTATTATTTGTCTCTACAGTCCGATCGAATTAAAGACCGAACCGCTTCGACATATGCGGTTTAAGCTATACATATATATATATATACGGTAATAATGATATTCTTCGTGTGTGATGATAAACTTCGGGGGTCGTGCACAGAAGTCGCGGAGCGTTTTGCGATACAACAACGTATTATGCAATTAAGTTACTTAATCTTCTAAAGACGCTAGTTTTTAAAGTTCTTCAACGCTGAACTCGCTACGTAACACTCTTCGCGAGAAGACTCATTGTCTATATTATTACAGACACGTGTTCAACGAGTTACTCTTCATGAAGACACCGTTTTAACAGAGTTCTGTCTCGAGTTTGCTCTTCTTGAAGCGATGAGTTTTGCTTTGCCGCCTGCGAAGATACATCTCTCATGTATTTCCGACCATGGGACAATCTTCGACGGCGATTTTCTTCATGCGATTTTCTTCACGATCTTCCGAACGATTTTCGGCGGCACGCGGACGCCGTGATACTGCAACGCGTGGCGACGTAAACTGACGTTCTGCGTAAAACTCTGATTGCACACGTGACAGGTGAAGTTCCTGCGCCCGCCGCATTCGTACTTCAAGTGCTTGAACAGACTGCTCTTGAACTTGTATCCCCGGCCACATTGCGGACACTTCAAAGCGAGATCCTCCTCCCTCACATAAATCGCGTGTCGCGACTTTCGGAGTGAACGGACGCGTGGTGTCTTATCTGAAACAATACAAAGACGACAGTCGTGTTAGTCACGAGCTCACACTACCGATCGAGATCGCCAGACGCGAGTCTTGACGATCGAAACCTTACCCACGCCTCTCTACACGTTTCGGAAATCCCACAACCTGAGAAAACATGCGGACTGAAATAAGAGATCGTCGGAAACGCGATCTGTAGAGACTGTAGGATCTCGTCCGTTCGGTAGATGATCGATTGAGTAACTCGATGATACGAAGCAAACTCTACTTGGTCCGCTTTCTCTTGATGTCTGTCTGGGAAAAAAAAGGAAAACAACAATGAAGAGACAATCTAATTTTAATAAATAGGCAACGTCCAACTACGATTAGATTACCAAAGAAGCAAACTGCTTTTTTATTTTTATTTTACAGCAAATTTGCGCTTGGACAAAGTTGCTATGATTTCGGTGCCAATCCGCGTTTGAACAGATCTGCTTGAAATTTGTTGCCAATTTGTCGATAATACATCGACAGATCCGTTGAAAAAAAAAAAAAACACACAGGTTTGACTTCTGAGAATCTAAGCTTATCCTTTTTTCCGCACGAATTTGCAGCCAATCTGAAATCGCAAACTGTCAGCAATTTGCTTAGTGACACACTCGGCTATCGGGTATGGATTCACCTGATTGGGATTTAAAGAGTTAATATTATGACGTTTTGTTAAGTGCCGCACCAGGGAACTTTTCTGAGTAAATGCCCACCGACAGAATTTGCACGAGAACAGACGTTTCCCGCCGCATTCATACATCATGTGTCTGCGCAGATTGCACTTCATTGTGTACTTTCTTCCGCAAGAAGAACAGCCGAACAACTTCTCTCTTGTGTAAGTATAACCTGTCGAATGAGAAAAGAAAAATAAGGTTACTCGAATGATGTGTGCTGGCACGCGTCGAACATCAATTGTTAAGCAAGTTTTTGGTTTTTTTTTGTTAAGGTAGAAAGTTTTCGATAGCAATAAATGTTCTGTAGACAGTTACTGTTTGTTCCTTTTTTTTTTTATTAGTAGTTTAGTTTGATATTAGTTTAATATTTACATAGTTTAATATTCTAATACAAATAACGCGATAACGCGAGAGACTCGCGAAAAGACACATGTGGCTCTCAGAGACACGTGTCTGAGTCTAAATTCTCCAAGTGTATTTTCTACTGCGTAATCTAATCTTTGGAATAGAAGAGTTTTTGGTATGAAATCTCTCTTCTTCGATATATCACATGTATCTTCCACACGACGTGACATATATCTTCTTCACGACGTTTTCTTCAATATAGAAAGCTGTCTCCGCCCCATCTTGTCTTCTCACTGGTAGACGAGTCGATTGCAAACCTTCGAGCTGTTGTATCTCTTCTTCACAGGGACGACGACGTTGTGATGATGCGTCAGATGTCGGCGCAGACTGACGTTCTGCGTGTACTTGTTCGGACAGAGATGACAACAGAATCTTCGTTGACCGCCGCACTCGAAGCGCACGTGTCTCGCGAGATTGTGCTTGAGCGAGTATCTCTTCCCGCATGTGGAACATTGTAGGGCCTGATCTTCGGCGTTGCCGGAATGTCTCGTTCTGATCTTCGCGGTGGCTTCTTTTTGGCCGTAGAGAGTTTCGAGCGAACGTAGATTCTCGCAATCTGAAAACAAAACAACGTTCGTGCGCTGATCAGTACGCCGTACGCGAAACGAGAATTGCTCACCGATCTTCTGCTCGTTCTACAACGTTTAATAAAGTCTGGTTGATAGACCTCGAAGCGATCGCTGTGGCAAATCGTGCCGTCCTGTTTATATTCCGTCTCGAATAGAAATGTCGTCTCTCGTAGATTGTTTTGTGCGTGACACGTTACTTACGTGTAACACAGAAACTTTCAATACTTACGTGAACGATCGTTGTTGCATTTCGTTCATTCAAAGAAAAAGAGAGAAAGAGAGAGAGAGAGTCATTTCGAAGTTTTATAGCTGTTTATGTCGAATAAAAACGCGAATGACAGCAGGATTAGATTCTTAAAATTGTTGTCGCATAACTTTTTCGTAACGAGATCCGTTTTACACGTCGAGATCTAAACGTGAGTATTAAATTACGTTAGCGAAAAAAATTATCCTCGTGTTGGTTCAAGAATGTAATCGTGCGTCATTTTTTCATTCCGCAATCGGAGATTTTTTCCGAACAAGACAGATACTGAAAAGAAAATACAAGCTACTTTTGGAGAAAGAGAAAACCTCGAGATTGTATACTGCGTGCGTTACATTTATTTTTTTAATAATATATAAAATATTCCTAAATATCGACCTCAAGTCAATCGCGCGAGCGCGCGCGAAAATTGCTTCGTAAGCGCATCACTTTGCGTTTTTTTTTTTTTTTATAGACCTTAAATATCATTTTTTTCATTCTGAATGAATAATCTATCAGTAGGTATAGAGAAACATATTTTATTTTTACAGAGCAATGTAATTTATTAATTATCGTAGTTTTGGGAAACAAAGAAAATTTATAACGTTGAACTGAAAGAAAAAACGGGTTAAGAAAGAAGTAATCGATCATGTTACTGAGAGATGCAATTATCCTGCCACGAATAAAGCTAAAGATTAGTGATTATTGTTAGTCAACGTCATGTAAAATTCAATATCAGTAATCTTCCTACAGAGAAACATACGAAATACAAATATGCATGTCTATTTCACACCATGCGTTTCATAAAGGGATTAATGTTCGTGTTAAACTTCGTTAGTCGAACAAATGTCGCGTTTTTTTATCGTCGAGACTTTTTCTGTGTGATGTACACGAGAATACATAATCGATATGTAGATTGTGCGTAGTACACATTTCGTGTTCATTTGTCATTATTAAGATTCAGAGAGCTCGCTTGGCATATGAAAGATCGTCGACTTGTTTGCGGTGGCACGAAGATGTTGTGAACGTTTATCATGTGTTGCCGCAACTTCACGTTCTGCCGATATCTCTGCGGGCACAGCGAGCACGCGAAGTGCTTATGTTCGCCGCATTCGAATCTCAAATGCCTCATTAGATTGTGCTTCAACTGATACGATCTGTTGCACTGATGACAGGTAAATCCGGTGCTCGTGGAGCTATTGTTCTCTAGTAAATTGTATTTTGTTCGGCGCGATGTGTTCGCCTCACCTTCCGGGTGCTCTGCAAAAAGAAACCAGAAATAATCAATTAGTAAAAATTGTGACAAACGCAAACACGGTCTCTAAGCAACATCGAGAAGCAACTCGCAGAAGTATTCCTCTCTGCGTGTCCGACAGCAATAATTTTTTTCTCTCGAAGACGAAGGAAGAGGAAGCTAACGATGTACACAATCATCTATCAAAATTTTATTTGCGCATATGTTACATTTGAACAGAAAAAAAACTTATAAAATTAAAAAAAAACTTAACCTGTCAAATATTTCGTTGCGTTTATTTTGTATAGATGTGGTTTTTATTTTTATTTTTTTTTTAATTTTCCTTAATGTTTTTTCATATTTCTATATTAAATATATTTATATTTGATAAACCGAGATGCACAAGCGAATAAATTTTGACATTATTCCCGAGTCTTTTTGTTTTGCATACAACCGCGCGTAATACTGTCTCGTAAATACAGATTATTTTACGTAAAACAGCAAACACACATACAACACTGCGTACATTTATTAAAAAATCCTAAAAATTTCTAGTGTAATAAAATATAATCAAATTTAACAAAAATAATAATAAAAATTTTTTTTATTAACTTCATAAACTCTTATATGTGCTTCTCGATCCGTTAATACTTCTCATATTTTTATCACATATGCTGTATCACATGTAAATATTTATTCGACATTTGTCTCCTATATCGGAGATGTGATCTCGTTCATCGCAACATCATCATGTGAGCCAGGAATACTTCTATCTACAGTACTGCGTTAACTCGTTGGCCAAAAAACGTCGATACTGGTTTTTTTTTTCTTTTTTTTACTAATATATAGATAGTTGAAGCTATATGTGCAGAAAGATGCGTTTTGGTACCGAGAACTTCGGCGGCAGATAAATGCCGTGCTGCTGCATAAGATGACGGCGCAGACTGATGTTCTGCGTGTAACTGGAAGGGCATATGTGACAGCGAAAATTCTTCTGACCCCCGCATTCGAATCTCATGTGGGTCCTCAGATTGCGCTTCATCTTGTACGTTCGTCCACACTGCGGACATCTCAGTAGCGGCGAATGTACAGCCGCGTTCTGCGGCAAGTAACTCTGAGAGTCTGCGTCTTTGATCCCATCGTAAGTCTCGGGACCTGCAAACGAAAAAGAAGAGCGTTAGAGTGACTATTCGCGTCTGTGCTTCCGCACGATTCGACGACGTGACTCTGAAACCGAGTTCTCTCTCCTCTAGCGGGCGGAATAGATACCTCGAGGAACACTGAGACAAAATTACAAGCACATTTTTCAAAAAAACGTTTTCTTTGCACATATGTGTAAACACTCAAATATCCTCTTTAATATTTCGCCGATCACATATATATATATACACACATGTTGCATTCACAAAGAAACATATATTATCATATTCAGAAAGTAATAAACAATAACGAGCGCGTAGATTTCGCGAGTGTCGTAAATTTGTTCGGAATTAAAAAATAACTACTTGCTTTTCGCAAAAAATGGATTTATTACTGGAGACTTTTTACCTTCTAACGTAAGAGATTTATTTTCATCATTCTATACACACGCAGTTTAAATACTTAACACTAGTAGAGGTAACCAAAGAAAAACGCACATTCGTAAAGAAATCTTTTCTCTTCTTTGGCTCGTATGTTATATAAATAAAATTATATCGCTATCAGAAGACAGAAAAATTAAAAATAATTTTGCATAACTTTAGATATAAGATCTAATCTAATCTAGATTTTGATTACGTGGTATATTTGTAATTATATGTAACATTTATATATTATTTCATAGATATAAAAACACACAATCTCGGTATTTTTTATACGTACAAAATAATATGAAAAAAAAAATTGATTTTACGTGTAATTACAATTATATCACATTCTCAGTTTTTACAAAATAAAAACAAAATTAAACATATAATACATTATCCTAATGTTTTCTTTTACTTACTCTCCCCCGCTTAGAACTGACACTTTAATCTCATTTTCCGAGAAAAAATATGGAAAACGGATGTGATTATGTGGGATTATATATGAGTCGGGTATGGTTTTGCATGATCATGTAAGATTTTATTTAAGTAGGATTGTAATTTGATGCAATCGGGTAAAATCAAGTCCGAAATTTAACGCAATTTGATATTTGATCATATATAAAATCATGTATAATTATATAGAAAATTGTGTATGATCATTTAAAATCAGATCCAAAATTTGACGTGATCTGATTACTTTACATATAATCTTATATGACCATATGTTTCTATTTTTTCTGAAGTTGATTAAATCGTAAAATGAATTCAGTTAGCGCAAACCACACACCTAAATTTCCGTCACCTCTGACTTTTAGTATATATCCCCATTAGAGTTTTAAACAATTTTATAATTTTTACAAAATATAAAACTCACGTTGAAATATGAGAAAGATTTCTCGTGTGAAATTCAATTATAAATTTCGTTGTTGTGTTTTTTGCAAATGTGCGAACAAAATCGCCAGTGATCTGCAAACGTTCGTCATCTACAAATGTACATTTGTACAAACTACGAAAACCAAAGTAGTAATTAGTTTTTCTCTTTACACCATTCTCTTTACATCATTTAACGATTAAACTTAAATTTTTTTATTTATTTCTTACAAACTAAGTGTTCCAAATTTCGTCAAAGCAGTTTCAAAGTGATATGCGCGTAACACAAGAGTGGTTAAAATCATGTCTATTGTACAGATTATAAATAAACGCGTCACATGTGTGAAGATAACAAAACAGGTCAACTTTCTAAAAATACTGCTCTCACGATGTCAGAAGAGAGTTCAATGTTTCGATCGCACGTGGCGGTCCAGATTGCTCTTCTGAGCGAATCGACCTTTGCAAATGGGACAGATGAACTTCGGCTCCACGCCGCACTCGTACTTCTGGTGACGCCAGAGGGAGGTGAAGAAAGCGTAAACGCGATTACACCTGGAGCATATGTGCTTCTTCTTCGTGCGTTTTCTCTCCAGATCCTCCGTGGACGCACGCTCGTACGGTTGCCGGCCTTGATTGCATTCGAACGCCTTGTGCCGCAGCAACGAAGCTTTCAGAGCAAACGTCCGGCCGCAGTCGTTGCAGAGATACTTACGAGGACCTGATCCGATTCTACCGCTCTCGCTCGACGTCATGGAGCGCAGCCGTCTGGAGTACATGGCGATTCGCGAAGACGACGGCAGGGTCGGGACCGTCCAATTGGCCGAGCTGTATCCCGTACCTGCGAATCAAGAAGACACAGAGATGAAGGATAAAGCTGTAATGGCGAAGAAATTTGAGTTCGCACAAGCGAACGTCGGTAGTCAACTAGTGTATCTGGAGAAGCGATTAAAAAATGAATACGATAGAAAGAAAAACATTCGATAACAGTAAATATAACGCATCGTATTCTTGTGATTACAGACGGTGTATGTACAAAATAAACGCGCGTTATTTATGAAATAGTTTGTCCGATTGAAGAGAGAAAGGCATGTGTGCACAATCAAGGAAAATCTTTATTGTCTTTAAGTTCAATCAAATATTAAATTATTATTTGGTAATTATTATTGGTAAATATATTAAATAATGTTTTTATTTACATTGTGAATAGTAGGTGTATATTATCGATATACACGTATTTTTTCAAATACATTTTAATTAAAATTGAATAACAACGCTGTGCGAGGATCGTGATGTAAAGCTTTTTAAATTATTTCTCTCTCTCTCTCTCTCTCTCTCTCTCTCTCTCTCTCTCTCTCTCTCTCTCATAACGTATTTTAATTACATATATATTATATTGTAAAAATTTTAAATCAACATTACAAAAATCTCTCTTGTGTCCAATGATAATGAAATATATGTAATAGGAGCTATTGTCCATAAAAAAGGAACTCTCCTTGGCGCAATAACTTCTGCCTATCACGCGCTCGACTCTTCACAATAATTTTCTCTCTTTCTACGCTCGATCTGCGAACTCGGTACACACGAGCGTGTAAAATCTTAGCAGTTTTAATTCTCGAAAACATTTTATTTAGATTTAAAAAAAAAAAAAACATTTTGTTTCACCTTGCGCACCTCCGCAAAGTGTGATCAATCTAGCCGCTTTCGATAATACAAAATTGGAAGTTCGAATCGGGATTTTTTGCAGCAGTCTCTGCGCAGACTGAGCAATGATTCAATCCGACTCGCCTAGGTAACGCTTACACGTTTATATAAACCTTTTTTCAACAGTAAAAGTGACTATATAATTATCAAAAAAATTGTTTACGCACAGTAATACAATACTTTTTTTCATTACTTGGAATGGAATACAATTGAATGTCATTTTTTTTTAATAACATCACATAAAAGTTTGATAACTAATTCTGTTCAATGTGAGAATAGAACAGGAAGCTCGTAAACAAAGGACAAAGAGAACGCGTTCGTGTCGCGAAAACGCTTCTAGGCCAGATATTACGGCCGTGAACGAAAGGATTAACAGTATGTATTTAAGGGTAAACCATCTAATTTATTTGCCACAATATAATTACTACGTAAATGAAGTGAAATTATTGCGTAGTACACAAAAGGCAGATGGTGAATGTTTGTTACTCAAATAATAAGTAGTCAGAAAATATATAATACAGAAGTCTCGGTGCTGCATATAAATAATTAATATTTCTCTATAACATGTAAGTAAATATATATCACGAACAAAAATAATTAAAAAAATTATGTTACTGTAAACAGTAATTTATATAACAAATAAAACTATCTCTGTATTGTCATCGTGAAGTTGCAACGATATTAAAAGCTTCTTGATATTATCTGGAAATATTTACACGACAATTTTGCACGAAAATCAGTAAACCGGACTTCGCCGACTTTATGTACAAGAAGAACCCGGGAGATTGTTCCAAACAATTTTTACATCAAGACTCGTAACGTGATATGAAATATTTCAAATAGTGTACTGAAATTAGAGATTTTGTCCGAAATCGTAAACGTTGAACGCAGTAGCGCCGTGCACTTGGAAGTTCACGTCGACGTCAGCGGGCACCTCAAAGACCTGCTGATGGCCGCCGTATTGCTGGTTCTGCTTCAGAACGTGCTGATGCCGCGCCAGTATGTGCTTCGTCAGACTGTCCTTATACCTAGTTCTGTGCTGACAGAAGGAGCACTTGAACTTGGGTTCGATTCCGCACTCGAACATGTGATGACGCTTCAAGTGGTGCTTGTGCTTATACGCTTTGCCGCAGGTATTGCAGGTATGCTTATACGTTATATTCTGAATGTCTGAAACAGAAAAAAAATTCATTGTCAATTAGTGCGGCTCGATTTTGTCGTTTTTCGGAACAACGTGGCAGCTCCGTCGCTTCCGGGAGCGATTTTGGATGAAAGGGAAAATCTCCGGATTGTTTTTTTTTTTTTTTGCGACATTTCTCTCATTTCTTGCGGTTAACACCTCATTTATCTCTTATATGCTCTTAGTGCAACGATGAATTTGGTATAATATAAAATATGTAAGCCAGTGATGTCAACAGAAATATAAAACGATAAATTGTCAGTTAACAAAACAATTAAAAAAATAAAAAATTCCACATTCGTTCACAGACCATATTACATTCCACTTTGCTGAATTGAATCTCACTTACCTTTTCGTGACTGTTAATCGATAAGTGACAATATCGTCTCAATCGTCGACTTAGACTACGTGTTATTTACGAATAGAACGAAGATGGAAACGAAGAAAACAAAGGGATTCGAAAAGAGAACTGATGGAATCGCACAACGAGTTTCATGTGATGGACTTGGAATAAATAGCAGATTTTATTAGACTTGTGTTTTTTTTTCAAGCAGCAATCGAAATTTATCTTAGATCTAAGTGACAGAGTCGAATGTCTCTCTACCTTGCAGCTAATCTTGAAATTGTATAAATAAAATCTTACACAGGTCGTAAGTGTTTCGGACAAGAAACGCGCTCGATTTACTTCATTCAGATCGACGATATAACTAAGAGAGAAATACATGAAATATTCTCATATTCTAGACACATAGCTTTAGAATACATTCACTTCTTAGAATTCACAAAATAATGAAAAGAGTGAAGAATCGGTCTCGTAGAATTTTTTTTCCCGTGAAGATTCGAATGGGTAACGATTCGTTACGTCGACGGACTCGCTAAAAGATCGACAACGTTACGCAACAGGCCAAAAAAAAATTCGTACTTTCACGAATCTCGACGTGTGGATCTGTGAAGAAAGGAGCGGGATATCCTCGTGACAACAGTGTTCTGTTTAGCGTGCTTCATCATGTGAACTTGAAGATACGACCTGTAGGTAGCTCTGTACGGGCAGACGGTGCACTGATGCATCGGTTGCTTGCCGCATTCGTTTATCACGTGCCGCTTCAGATTCTTCAGCTGATGATAACGGCGGTCGCAGTTATTGCAGGCGAAACCACCCTGACCGCGACTCCGGCGCAGTTTCAGTCCTTGCCGGGTTACGTAATAGCACATCTTTGTGTTATCTGTAATCACGGAGAACAGTTTATTAATATCGGAAGAAGCTCGCCCGATTGCTCGGTGATTGAAAGAACGGATTCGTTAATCTTCCGATAGATCCGAACATCCTTTCTCGCGAAAACGGACGAGGTCTTTCGAAGCAAATAAAATAACCAAAGATGTGAAAAAAGACGAAAAACATTGTGTTTTGAACTACTAGATCACAGATTACTAACGTGACCGAATAACCAGCCGTATCTAACGTACAAAACATTGTACACATGAAGAGTGCCGAATGAGAGCATGCAGACACGATTGTACGTAATATTATCAAATGTGTATCTGTCTCTCTCTTTGGACCTCAGGGAATCCTTGAAATAAACGTGACATTCGATTCATTTGCATCGCACATTTTGCTCGCTTTAATCTATAATTGTTTTTAATTTATTTAATTTATAATTGTTCGTCAACAATTTGCTCGTCATCGTCTCTTCAAAAAAAAACCTGAGAAGAGCCTATACAAGCTATTGCTAGAGAGCAATGTAATAATTTTTTATTCTGATGCTGCAACACAAATGTCTATTTTTCTAATGTATTTAGTTCCCGCACACAATTTTTGATCGCTTCAATTTTTTTTTAACACACTTTTTATTCATATGTTTATTTATATTGCGCAACATTCCTCCACACTTTCGTGTTTTATTCGTCAAAAATAACGCAATCTCTCAAAATATGTACAGTAACATGTTGCACACAGCACCTATAATAACGACGATACGTACATAGCGCGATGAAACAATGAAATATACGTATAATATTTTTATTGTGATGTGTTAAGTTTTACATACAGAAAATAGTTGAAGGAAGAGTACAGAAAGAAAAGAAAAGAGAGCGCGGAACACCGAGCAGAACGCGCACACTGACAGGCGAGGCGTCAAACTGTAAAACCTACCTAAGGATCTAAATCTAGCAAGAAAAAGATGCAATTCATAAACAAAACCTGGCAAAGAAAAAAAAATAAAATAAAAAAAAATAAGTTAAATAAAAACAATAAGATATACGCACGCGCGAACGTCTGTGTGTATACATCGTCACCCGTTTCTACGTTCATATGAATTTCCACAAACACTCGGGTGATGTATACTTGCACACAAAATACATTTGTACAGAATCGATGGATTGATTAAAAACTGACGATCTTTCTCTCGTCGATAAGAATTGGTTAAAAAAGCCGAGACAGAAAACGAAACGACAGAGAACATTTGTTGAACCGAAGCGACGCGCGCGCTACAGATAAGAACTCGGATACCGAAGCAGCAGATCCCGGTGTACGTGCATGACGTGCTTCTGTATGTCGGCTCTGTACTTGCTGCAGCGATGGCAATAAGGACACTTGTGCTGCGGCGCCTTGCCGCACTCAATAATGAGGTGCCGGCGCAGGGATCTCCTGATCTTGTAGCATCGGTTGCAACGAGGACACCGGAAGCCCTCCTTCGTTAACTCGACCCGCCGGAAGTCTTGCTCGTCCTGCTGCCGGGTAATCGTCGCAAAGTCGATCTCTTCCGCGATATCTCCCAAACGCCACTCTGAAAGGATTTACATGCCCGTTAGATGCGGGAATTCGTTCGTGCAATTATCGCCGTGTTAAATCGCAAACGTCGTTACTTGCCGAGACATCCATATTGTCGATGTTTCCTCTGAGATTTGACGCAACAAAATAAAACAATTTATCTCTCAGACCTCCGATAAAAAATACAGGCGTATTATAGTGACACAAAAGAAAAAACAAGCACATCGCACACGCAATCCTGACAAGATGATTCAAATGAACGAGATTTAAGTAGGTAATTAAATGGAAACAAATATTTTTGTCTACATGAGCTACAGCGTTACGTAATGTACAAGATACTACAAGATGACAATTAAAGTAAAACGTGAAATGCAGTTAACGTGGTTTTCTAAAAGATTGTTCATCGAGAAGAAACGGATGACAATTTTTTTTTTATTGACGTAAATAGATGTATATTTGCTATAATACTGTGTGTTCACACGCAGCTCACACATTGGTTGTTACATTTTACAACGAACATACAGTATAAAGTATATATTACTATTCATGTAAGCGTGCAATGTTTCTACGCCTTTTTTATTGTCGAACGTGCTGTGAAAATGGAGTATAATGTACTGCGTGTATATATGTATACACTGATGTTTTTTTATCGTCGAGTGTGTAATTTGACGCACGTCATCGCTACGTTCGTCGATAAACCTAAGTTTTAACAAGTAACACAGGCATTTTTTGTGCGATCGGAATTTTCTTATCACGGATATTTTAATATAAAAAACATTCTATACGTACTGACTCAGTGTTGTTTCATAGCTCACACTTTGGCATTTAAATCTTCGGTTTTTGTGTTGTAAAAGAGAGCGGAAAATATTAAGTGAAAAAATTTGTTCGTTCACTTTGCAGGTTTTTTTTTTGAGTATTAAATGTGAAACAGCGCTTTTCACACATCGCATTGTTTAACAATATATTTCTACCTATTCGCTATATCGGAAGATGTCGCAATTATGTGTGTTACAAAATGCAAATATGTATAAACGTCACACACACAAGGTTGATCACCGAGATTTGTTCATCCTACACCCATGGAATGTCGTTGACGCGTGTGAAAATTATCAATGCTTATAAAAATATAGACTATTAGTGCGTGTCATCGAAAAATAAACTCGCTCGTCAGCGATACTCTCATGGAATCTTACTTTTGTTTGCGAGGAGAAAGGTAGGATGATACTGTGAAGAAAACAGCGTATGTGTCTATGTGCCTGGCAGTTAGTTGGAAACATGTAACACGTTGAGAAACACAAGTTGAGATGTAGATAGATCACTAGATAATTCAGAATCGCGTATCAAATGATCACGTAAAGTTTGTGCGTGATATTTAAGACCTGTACAATATTGAAACACTATTAAATGCAATAAAACAATATGAGAGAAGTAAGGCAATATTATTTTATATATGTTACACATATTAAAAAAAATATATAGTATAATATATATGTATATATGTAATATATATAATGTAACTATATATACACAATTATATTGTGTATTGCCGTATATTATACAATTATGTATTTAGTTTAACGTAAACATAAACAAACAACGTAATATAAGTACTATGTTTTTGGAATACTGTGCAATTAGTATATTTCTCATACACAAACGTATTTGATCGAAAACACATATAGAAAACAAATATTCTCGTTCCTCACGAGTTAAACAGCGTTAAATTCTGAATTATCATCGAAATATAACGTAGTTAAAAATATTCATCAACTTTATGTGAAAATTTAATTTCTGGCATCCATCGAAGACGACTTGACGTTAGACGCGGCGTACAAGTCAGCGGCGTTCAGGAGCTTCATGTGCCTGCCGTTCAAATGGGTGTTCAGGCTTGATTTGTGCTTCGTCTTGTACGGACACAGAGGACAGTGAAATTTTGGTTCCACGCCACACTCGTGTTTCAGATGTCGCGCCAGACTGGAGTAGTAGTTGTAGATCTTACCGCAGTTCTTGCAGGGATAAGTCACCCTCTGACAGTTCAGGTAATTCACCGCGTGCGTATCTGAAAAACAGAACCATAGAGGAACGACTGGTTAGTAAAAATTGCACGTGAACACACGATGGTTCTTCCTCGTGAATGTTCGTGCATAGCGTGCGGATAGAGGAAGATGACAGACCCTTCGACGATGTCTAGAATCTATAGCTGGGTCTGGCTCGTCTAAAAAAAATTCTCGTTTAGACGCGTCCGGGAAAAATGCACATTTTGGTTGCAAACGGGACTATCCTTTCTGCACAATTTTCACAAAGCGTATTTTGTTTTTCGCAGGAGAGAAATGCGTTTCATGCCAAAAAATCTTATATAATAGATTTGAAAATTACATGTTATTCTTCAATTGCACCACAGTTAGTTCTTTTTCTCAAGTTATATGTACAGCGAAAAAATTGCCAATGAAAAAAAAAAAAAACAATCTGTTGCAAAAGAAGAATATAGTTAGTGATTAATATAAATTCGATACTTAACACGATAAGTAAGTTCACTTTAGTCCTTCGTACACACAGCATTGTTCCGAATAGCAGCATTTGTGTGACGTCCTGACAAGTAACGATTAAAAACTTAGCGAACTATGTGTATATATATACACATAAACAGTAAAATAAACAGTTTTATTTTTTATCACAATAAAATACACATCTGTAATAAAACGGTTCTCTCGTATCTCGTCGCATTAGAAATTCTTTCCGAATATATGTTTTACCACAAAGTAACGAGAATACTGCATGTTTCTCTGCAACAAAAATACACTCGTAATTATTAGTAAATTATTTTTTTGATTCGAAAATAATTTCGATTGCCAAAAAATTACTTTAAAATCACTGAAAGACATAAACCATCAAGAAGCGGAAGAATAATACAAACAGAAAAACTATTCTCACACGTAACGTAATATATATTATTATTTACCAAAAACGTTTATTTCTGCTTTATATGTGTGTAGAGAACAATTGTATCTGTGTATAATGTGTTTACATAATGTTTACATAATATCATTCTGTTATAATATCCCTAGATTACTGTAAAAATAAAGAAAATGAGAAGAGAGTAAAAACCGTTACTTTGTATAACAATATAAAGAAAGAAACATTTTATCTATCAACTTTTCTTGATATATTCTTAGGTTTTTAGTCATAATTGTTATTTTTAAAAAGAAAGAGATAGTCACTACCTCTTTCCCTTCCTATTAATAATACGCAGACCATAAGATATAAATAGCAACAATGTCAGTTTTGCATCGACATAAAATATATATACTTTAAGTATAATTAAGTATAAATAATAATAATAAATTTCTCTCTAAAGAAAAATATATCTCAATTTTTCTTAACATCTTAAAAAAACTTGTTACATTTAATTAAAAAATCACCAATTGGTGATTCCACGAACATTACCGCGAACACTAACAATCTGAGGGTATCCTTCGTTTCCTGTGTGTTTTAGTCGCGTCATATAACCGATTTTTATATATCGATGTATAACCGATTTAGGTATGGAGTATATCTGCGCGGCTTTTCTCAGGGACATTCCGGCCTCGACAGCCATGATGGCATTTTTCACGACTTCCGGCTTGTGAGACCTTCTCTGTCTCTTCTTCCGTCTTATCCCGTAAGCAGATTGTCCTGAAACACGCAAAAAGACAAATAGAGCACATCGTACTTACACGTTGCGCGTCGTGTCTCCCCGCGTGAGAAGGAGAGAAAGAAATAAAATAGTAACCAAAATATCACGGTAAAAAATAATAAAATTAGTGGGATAACATCACTTGTTTCAAAAGTTTTTGTACAAATTAAGAAATAAAGTATTTCGAAACGTATAAATGGATTTCTATCCACATATACTCAAAAACCTAATAATGTTAAAAGAACGATACATTTATTGCAATAAGACACAATCGATAACATAAAATATTCTTCTTGTATATCGTACACATTTATATTACTATATACATAAATTAATAAACTTTGCAACGTTTTGTTAATTCACAACGACAAAATCCTGCACGATTCTTATCTAAACCAGAATTTATTCCGTAAATAACAGTAGAAATCTGCACAAATGATTAAAAAACAAAAAAAAAAAAAAAACCCGCCTCGTCAAATCGAGAGTAATCCTGAGTTGAAGCTGGAGTTTCGAGACATTCGGAATGAAGTAAACGTTTTGCTTTTTATTGTAACATCGATGCGGAAACACTTATTGTTAGAGCGCGAAACGTTTCTAATGATAGATAATATATTTATATCGGGTGCAACACTGTTGTCTCGCAGGAATTAGTCCCTTCCGCATTCGCGTGAATTCTCTTTATGTGTGACTTCAGATTCCATTTGCGATTGCTCTTGTAGCTGCAGTACGGGCAACACTGCGCCTTCGTTTGGCCGCAGGATGCCTTGGTGTGCTCCACCAGATGATGCTTCCACCGATACGACTTGGAACATTTCGAACACTTGTATCTACCCGTGATGTGATCCACGTGTTTGAATCTGAACTTGCGTTCGACGTTCCTGTTGCTTATCTGATAGTTGTCCCATACGAGTGGACCTGAAACACAAGAGCCAGTTCGTCATAAACGCGTTGAAGACATTGAATGAGCAATTGCTCGAGCGTTTCTGACACACCCGATATCTGTGTTTCACTTAAAATATTTACATCTAAGCGGCATGCGATGAATATAATATCGAGATCTTTGAAACACAATTTATATCCTATATATTTAAATAAAAACTGAAGTTATTATGATATATCCGTGTTTACCAAACAATGTTTGTTATTGTTTTATAAAACAATAAATGAAAGAAGATCTCGTCCATTTGTAACATTTGAAATCCTGTTGTATAATTTGTATAAAATGTAGCGATGTAAGAACCAAAAATTACAATACAAAATCGTCATTCAAGCTGCCAATCTGACACTCGTCACAGAGAACATTCAGAGCAGAGTAAAAACTAAAACATTAGATGACGTAATCAAAGCAGATTAAAAAAATACCATGATTTAAAAATATCCGCGAGTAAAATAAAATGTAAATGTTTTCTTCTGCGTCGGTGACAAAGATTTATCCTGAAACTCGGAAAATTGGAGAGAATAATGTGAAAATGCAATATAAATTCGTGTAACCGTGTAACAAAGACGAGAGGATATAGTTCAAAGTATATTCTCGTGACTGCAAATATGTACACAGGTATTTATTTAGAAAGCAAACGAATGCGAGACATCGTTACACAAACACTTAATCGCTGCGTTGAGACGCAGCCGACCGCGCGACATGTCACTCAATCTACCGATCTACTAGGATAAAGTACATTAGCGACACATGTCTCGTAGACGGGTGGTTCATACGATGTGTGATGCATCATCTATGTCACTGTGTATGCCAAATATCAGAGTTATCATATATTACACGTAAGAGAAATTTTGCAAATTAATTTGTTATGTAACGAGCATCGATACGAGTTTCGACAGACGGAGAAGTCTGTCAATTTTCATCATAGTGTACATCGAAATTTTTCTCTCAATCCGCGATTTTGAGTCTTGAAAAAAAATTCGAAACTTGTATCTTCTTCTGCTTGCGAGGCTGTCCTGCAATGTGAGCCCGTGTGCGTATGCTTCGTTACATTTCAATCAATTCGATAATCGTTTTATTTATTTATTTTTTGTCTTCTAGATAGGAAACAATGTTGAAGTGTTTTTTAACTTTCGAATTGTTTTTTTTTTTTTTTTGATAAGTGATTAATGTGATTTATGGGACGATATGGCGCTTCGAATACCTGACGATAATTCACCTACGATCTACCATAGTATCGTTTGTTGTTGTCTCATTATTGCACGATGTTGTAAAAACAGTCCGGTAAATGAAAACTAGAATCTCGTGCGGTACAAAGCTCTAATATACCAATGTTTTTTTTGTTTTTTTATGTTTTTGTTGTGTTTTTCTTACGTTAGATGAAATCGTGTTAGAGGCCACGTACGCATGCTTAATCTCTACCGTGATTACATCGTCGCGAAACGAAATTTAAGCGCGCTTGACGCGCTTGTATTTGTATGGTATACGCTTATTTGTCAGTACGTCAATAAATGTAAGTAACTGCCATCTAAAGTCCGCTACACCACATGGCTAAGTGTAGTTGTTTGGAGTTAGCATGAATTTACAATCAAATTGCACTATACTCGAGCAGTCTATAATGCACAACAATCGACGGTACAAGGACACATTACTCTAAAACGCGTTAAAAAAACGACGACTCCATCTCTCGATCTCTTTTGAGAGAATTCGCGCACGTTCTTAAACCTATATGATGATTTGACTTCATTGGGATCATTACATAGTCTTCAATGACCGCCGTTTCTGCAAACACATTTTTTGTTTTTCTTTCGGCGGTTGTACTTACGTCTACGTTTTACGCGATCGATATCTCGTTTTAGACTCGCAGTAATACAAGATCGCGGAGTTTTCCTCCCTCCCCCACTACGTTCGTAGCAGATCACATGATTACTTTTTTGATATATAAATCGCAAATCGAAGAGGTAGCAAACACGTGATCCATTAGAACATATCGCGGGAACAACCTCGAGTGATTAAAAAAAAAACAAAAAAAAAATCCTATGATCTTTTATTACTGATTTTAAGTGGTAATCAGACTTTTCCGCCACACACTTCACGCACATATATTCTCACACACGTACACACACAAACGTATGTAGTAAAATACAAAATTGTAACAAACAATATATTGGATATTGTTTATCGCACCAAGAGTGAGCAGAAAACTTATAAATAGAAAGTTTTCTCTCTCTCGGAAGAATGACACTTTTATTTAAAAAAGTTCTCGTTCTTTACAAGAATAGCAAAAATCTTTGGTTAAAATTGGAAAATATCAAGTCTTTTTAGTTTTGCTACATCTCGACAAATACTTCAGAAAATATCGATCACTCTTGATACGATCACACTTAAAAATTGCTCTTAATTAATTAATCATAATTGCATATAATTTAACTTATATACTATCATACATTTAAGCAAAAATTTCTACAAAAATGTATATCACTTTGTTGTAAAATATATATATATATATATAAAAAAAAAAAAACAGAGTACACGTGTTATTATTAACCTCCGAAATCGAAAATGGTGTTCGTCTCAACTCCTAAGAGAAAAACTTCAGAAAAAGAAAGATACAGCCTCTGGACTAGATTTTGTTCACTCAATTTATGCGATTGCATCTACGTTGAATTACTCATGTCGAATGATTTCTTCAGAATGAAGTAAACGCGTAGCATTTCCATCCTTACGAGCTAAAAGTAAATGAAGAACGTAAATCTGCAAAAAAAAAAAATCTCACAAGTGCGAAACGGTCGCACGAGAAAAATGCGACTTAAGAGTTAAAAAAGACAATCGTAGATCGATCGCTCGCGTACAGTCTTGAACGACAGCATACAAAGTTTACGATACTTAGACCATACGTTTATTGATATGACGCGCGTCATATTAAATGACGGTTTGACATCTTATGCGTTCTTTTTTTTTTTTTTTTTGTTTTTTTGTTTCATGAAAAAGAGAATCGATACACTTCCGCGGTTTTGCGAAGCAAAATTCACTCGAATAAACGCGCTGTACAACACACACACTACACACTCGCTACTAATTGGCTTCTCGTTCTCAAACGTGACACACATCAGTTCTCTCTCTCCTATCAGATATAAGGGCATATTCGTGAGAAACTACAGAAGAACGTTTTCGCAAGAAACATACAAAGTTTATCTGACCGTCTCGAGAGGTTCGCAACGAAGCGCGCTCTTCTTTCCGCAATTAGAAGAAAGCCCTCATTGCGAAGACTTCGGGAGAACGAGGGACGTCGTCGATCACGAGATACAGGAACGTTGCACGGGCGTCTTACTTGATGTTGTGCACCGAGAGCAGGTGCTTGAGGAAACTCGCTTCGATCCGGGATCGGTACGGGCAGTACTGGCAGGAGAAATGCGTCTCGAAAGTAACCATGCCACAACCCATCTTGAGGTGCTTTCGCAGATTCGACGCCCACGAGTACATCTGGCCGCAGCGGGGACACACGTGCAGTCGCGGCCTCACGATCGGGAAGAGGGGCGCGTCTGTAAAGAGAGGTCCGTTAGAGCGCGCGATCACGGAGGCCGCGCGAGACGATCGTCATCGGGCTCCCCTCGACGCATTTCCCTCGTCGAGGTAAAAAATTTAAACAAAAAGAAAAAAAAACCAATCCCTCGCGGAACTCCCGCGTGCGTAGGGCCCAAAATTAACGTAATGTAAACGTGGTCACGTGGGATGCAAGCGTCAAATGCAACCAAAATGTGGGTGTCTATAACATCGAAGCGCATGCCTTGAAGTATAAGAGGTTTCGGAAATGGATCTTCCTCGAAAAATCATCCCCGGGACGATCCATCTCTGCGGAATCTGATGCGCTTTTCGAGCGCATCAAAAATTTTGCAAAAAATTTCTCATTTGCTTTCGCAAATGTTCTCTCGATCGCTGTGTGACAACAAGAAGAGATAAGCGAAGAAATTGTTTTGTCTTCGTCTCGAAAAGCGCTTCTTCGGTCTCGGGGAGAAACATTAACACACGTGCGACTGTTTTCTTTCTGTTTGTTTGTTTGTTTTTCTTTTTTTTTTTTTTTACGTACGTGCTTATCTTATCCGTTCTCCTGCCTTTGATTAGTTTTTCGTTGGCTACAACCTGAAACGGTTCTGAATAATTTACGAAGAGAACAAATTCAGTTGCGCGCGACAACACAACAGTGTAGGAGAGAATCGGTAAAAGATTAAACAATAATAATTGCGGCAAATGTTGTAGCGCATATGAACTTTATTTCACACAATAAAGAATAGCTGATCACCGAAGAGGAGCTAAATAAAATCGAGCATTAAGAGGCTGTTGGCAAGTATTCCGCGCTCGCTTTATCGTCTTACGCTTGCAAAATTTGAGCCTTTTCAGATTGTGCTTGAAGTAAGATGATGACAACCCCGCAGAGGATTTATCGCACGCCTTTCTGATGCAATAAGCCTCTTTCGCTCTTCTTCAGATGTGATGTACCCTGAAAACATCTTCAGACATCAGTTAACGATGATAAGATAGAAAAGGCGAAACGATAAAACACGATAGTTAACAATCGTGAAAATTTTCTTTTTTTTTTTTCAGACAATACAGAAGTTTACAAAATACCTAGAAAAAAACAAAAGATACGATGAATAAAAAAATCCAGCGAATACAAAAGTCGAATAAATTATTAGCGTTAGATGTGTTTATTAGTTTCTCTTGGAGTTACAATTTCTCACATTATCCTTGTCGTAATTTCTACTCCGTTCCGCGAAAGATGCTTGTAAAAAACATCGAGCTGCGCGTCTCTCGTCTCATCGAATAAATTATTAATATAAACCCTTTAGTATTTCAATATGTGTATTAGCTAACAAAGTCTGCGAACAATTAAGTTCCTATTGCGAATTCATAAACAATCGTCAACAATAATAATCAACAATTAAAACAATCTACTAACGTAACAATAATTGACAATTTACACAAGTCGTTCGCAAGATCAGCGGCAGTGAATCCTGAAAATGTGTTTCTGCAAACTGCTCTTGTATTTCGTACGATGTGGACAGTACGGGCAACACTTGGTCGGATCTTTGCCGCACTCGATTCTCAAGTGATTCCTCATGTTTCTCAGCCAGCGATAATTCTTGCCGCACTTCGGACACTTGAAGCTACCCGGATTTCTGTCGACGTACTTCGATCTTCGAAACGCTCCTTCTTTCGCGCTCAAACTATACGCGACTTTCTGCTGATTGGTCATCTGGGTCTGGTAACTTAACCACGCTACCATTCCTGCAAGAAGATAAAACGTGACGGTTAGTAAGTGATCACAAACAATCTCTAGAAGTGAAGACAGGCGACAAGATGACTCGTCGTGCTTACTGATCAGTTTCTTTTTCTTTTTTTTTTTCATTGTTCGTTACTCTTTTAAAAATCTCTGTTACATAAATTGTCAAATAAGTAAGGATAATCACCTGTGTGAGAAAAAGTTTTTCACGGTGCTTTTATACGTCACAGAATTGCGCCGTGTGTTCTCTCACGTTACAAACATAATATTGGATATTCATGTAGGATCGCGTTATTAATCTGCATAAGCACATAAAGAATGTTCTAGTTTCTTTATTGTGTAAAATTTGGCAAATACAGATTCACGGAACAATTGTACATTACAGGTACAGTAAAGAAAAAATAAAATAACAAAACACACGGGTGTTAAATATTGATGTTGCATCATAAATTTCACTAAAAAAGAAAAAAAACATAACATAAAATAAAACAACATTCGATACAGTTCAAATCATTTCCACTCTCGGATTATATATTACGATATATATTATCAAATGGGTGATTACGACTACTGTAAAAATTGTTTTTTAATTGCTATGCAAAAAATCTATGTACCAAAAATACGTCCAAAAATAAAATTGGAGAAAACAAATTCAATTTGATGCTTAAAATATATCTTCAACACGTAACACGAAGAAAATCATAAAAATGGCAAGTCTGTAATACGCTATACAGATTTGTCTTATTGGTAACTGTAATTTTTTTTTTTCTTTTCAAACAATATACGCCGCGGTACATACGAAATACAAAACTTCTGAAATCTAAATGCTCTTTTGTCTTACAAATCAGAAATTTCTTTCTGACTACTAATTTAACACGTCGATATTATAGCGCCTTAGTTTTGTAAAACGGAAGATTTGTAAAACAAATTTGCAATCGGATGATGATCGAAAAAAAATTTGCTCGTGAACTGAGAACTCGCGCACGTTTCCATGCTGTTCGAGCATTACGCGCTATTGGAGAAAACGTTCTTTCCGGGGTGATTGGTGCGAATATGCTGATACAAATTGCCGCGTTGCTTCGTCCTGTGCAGGCAGTACGGACACTTAAATTGCGGCTCCTTGCCGCACTCGTGTCGCGTGTGTCTCAGCAAAGTGCCGCGATGCTGATAACCCTTGCCGCACTTCTCGCAACGATACGGGAACTCGCTCCGCTGCTTGACCGTCCAGAACATCTCCTTCATCAACGGCATATTCGCGGACTGCATCATCGGGAAGAGAAAGCTCGGCACGTGCGGGTGTTTCGGCAAAATCATACGCGGTCTTGACGATCCTAGAAGGTAGAGGAAGAAAAAACAGGGCGCGTTAGTTGCGGAAAAAGATGCGTCTCTGATTAATGTGTGTGTACACGAAGATACAAGTAAAAAACGACGGCAATGTCGAGCACCTTTTTATTCAATTTGCAGTTAACTACGAGTGGACAACGGTGAATCTTATCTTTGGTAGGTAAAACGAGTCTGCGGCAGTTTAAATGTCTGAAAATATTGTCTTTTATTTGTTCCTTCGGAAGAAAACGTTATTACAGATACAGTGTGGCTGTTTACTGTTCTGCCGGTCTCGGACCGTTCAAATTTCTTTTTTTCTCTTCGTACTGCGCCCAAAGTCTGATCGTGATGACTAGATACTTCAACATCAGCACTGCGGTAATCCGGTAGACACAAGTGGCAGATAAAACTTTGTGAGAAACTTCCATTCCGTGCGTTAAAAATAGCAAATACAACGGTAAAAAAAAAAATAAAATAAAATAAACATCGCAATATACGATACAAGATTATTCCGAAATTAGGTAAATAAACAACACTGTGTGTGTGTATTTATATAGAAAACAAGTAAAACCATAATATAATGTTAGTTTTATTTACTCTCGCCGTGTATTGCAAATTTACGCAATTTCGGAATATGTCTTCTTCATAATTAAAAGATCTTCTATCCGCAATTGGTCGATATTTGTTTTTGTTTTTCATTGTTTTAGTTAAGATCGATCACGTAAACGTTCTGGCCCCGATGGCACTGACGGATGTGCCTGTAAACGTGACCGCGCTGCTTCATCTTGGCGGAGCAGTAAGGACACTGGACCCTCGGCTCCTGACCACACTCGAACTTTGTGTGCCTGTTTAGATGCCACGCGTGCACGTAGCTTTTAAAACACCGCGAGCACGTGTGCCTCTCGATGTCGGTTCCGCTCCGACGTCTCTTCGTGCTCAGCGGCTTCTCTTCCTCGTGATCGAAGCTCTCGGACTCTTTCATCAGCACCGTGCACATGCCCAACATTGACGAGAGATTGGTTTCCAGCTCGATCGTCTTTGTGTCTAAAAAAGAAATCAACAAAACACAGAGTTAGTCAGAGCGATCGAGAAAACGCGCGTGTAGTACCGAGCGTGAAGAAAAAAAATAAAGAGAAAAAGATACAAATGAAGAAGACCGTGAAGAGGCTTTTTTGCGAATGTTACCGCGAGTTACGTCCCGTCACCTTTTATCCTGAAGAGCTCAAGCTCGCGCAAGAATACCCGTTCTTTTGTTTAATTTTCGTTATTTTTTATTTTCGTTTTTGTTTTTTTTTTGCGCAAGCCGTTGAAGTAAAGTGCATCCAATTGGCTCAGAGGAGCTGCATCAGCACAGGCCTTTCAATGAGAGTGTATGAAGAAAAAAAAAACGAAACTACTTCGACAAACCAATAGACAAACTTAACAGCGAATACCGTATAAGAAATGTTTTTTATTTCATCCAATACACTGTTAACAAACTGCTCATTATACAGATAAGATATACGTAACATTGCATGATTCCTCATCACACACACGAGATAGACGTCAGAATGAACTTGAAACGAGAAGTGAAAAACACACAGCGAAACACGAGGCGTCACAGACAGCGTTGCCGTGGAAGATGCCACAGCGTAACATCACGCAATAGAGAGGTAGAGAGGTACGTGTCGTACTCTTCCCATCAATAGTAAATTACCCTCTTTACCGCGTGACGTCACGCGGTGGCATCTTCCACGGCAACGCTGACGTCACAGACGTCTTCGGGATTTAGTTTTTTCCCGGAAGAACAAGTACGAACAGAACTGATTTCCTCGATCAGTAAGGCGAGTCGATAACGTGGATGGATTGACCGTAGTGCTTCCTCATAATGTGCCGCCTGATGTGATTCCGCTGCTTGCTACGAGCGCCGCAGTACGGACACGTGAATCTTGGACGTTGGCCGCACTCGTAGCGCATGTGTCGCCTAAGACTTTTGATCACCATGTAACCGTTGCCGCATTTCGGACACACGTGATTTTGGCCACCGCGTCTTCCCCGACGTCCACCGCCGCGCCGATACAACTCTCTCACGCTCAAACCCCCGCCGGACTTCCTGTCGTATAAATCTGTCTCGTACAGAAGCGCTGAAAGCAAATGACAGTCCAGTTAGAGAGAAAAACCGAGAGCGAACAATTGATCGAACCGCGCCCCGGCAAGTCTCGAGAATTATAATCCTTACAAGTAACACTCAGAGATGTAAAATTGATGAATTGCGAAGTAAAAAGCCGGTTGGTGCTAAGTGTGTTGTATGCAAAATTCAAGTTTCTTTAATAACGGCTCCCTTTCGTCGCACCTTTACATTACACGCATCTTTTTCACGAACAGAAGCAACACACACACACACACACACACTCATACGTCTGTTTAATATCTAAAATTATAAATATTTCATATTTAAAGTATATTCGCTAATTCTATTTTATTGTTACACTTTCAATAATTAAACAATGCTTTGTTCTTACACATTGCGCGTCACATTAAAATATTCTCTTACTTGTGTTCTAAAACAATTTGTACTCGTGTATATCCCTACCTGATACCAAAGTTAATAAATAAAAGTATTTACAAAAGTATTTACTAAAATATTACTAAATACTTCTAAAGTATACTTACTAGGTATTTACTAAAATCGATCTACAAGTCCTGAAAGCATAGTTTCTAGAAGTTAAGCATGTGTATGTGTGTGTGTATGTGTGTGTTAGTGACTCACAGAAGTGTGATCGGAATTTCTGAAGACAAGATTACGTATTAGAAGGAAAAAATTTATTATTAAAAGTGATTAAAATATATATAATGAAATATATACTTTATAGATTTTCCGCACAGAGGAAATCAAAGTCATAATCGATTATTGGATTACACAATGTGTTACGACTTTAAGTCAACGACGTAAACTTTTTCCGCAGGATGTTTCTTCCTAATGTGACAGTAGATGTGCGACGTCTGCTTGCTACGCAGCTCGCAATAAGGACACTTGAATCTAGGTTCATAGCCGCACTCGTATCTGAGATGACGATTGCGATTGCTCTTTAAGGTAAAGCTGCGCAGACACTTGGGACAGTAGTGGAGAAGTTTCTGAGATTGCTTGGTACGTTCGTTAATCCCGTTGTTGTTTCCTACGTAGCTCACGTGGTACGACGATTCCATCGCGTGTGCATCTGAAAAAACAAAAATTGACCTGTGAGTCGAAAGTCGCGGATAACTTCTGCTCTTTTCGGACACACATCGATACAAGCCTTATTTATTTTTTTTTTATCGGCAACAACAAGTGACAATCTGTTAAAAACAAAAAAAAGAAAAGAAACAAAAGAGAAATTCAGCCAATTTGCAAAATCAAAAGAAAAAAAAATATTCTAGACTACACTCTCGTCTTGTCTCTGTGAAGAGAACGATCTCATTATAAACGTCGAAACACCTTCGGTAGGAAACACTACAGATGGAACATTATCAGCGCTGATGATGATTAGTTTGGACATTTGTATAAGGTAAAAAAAAAGGATAAGTTGATTAGGTAAGGAAACTCGATCGAAAGGCCAATTTTCAAGCACACAGTCTTAGATGTTAGTTTTTCTCACAGTCTTAGTTAGATGGAACATGATGAAAAAAACAGGACGAAGTCATCCGTTTGTTAGATCACCTACCGTGCAGTTACGAGAAAGTAGGTGTCAGGTGAGACTTTGTGTTTTCGACGTGCTCGTTTCTTGGTTTTTGCGAATGATTGTGGGGGCCAAGAGGACGATTTATAGAGAAGACATCGAAAAGAAAGTGAATAAAAAAGGCCAGCTGGAAAATATTGAAGCATATCATTTTGCCAGGTAAGGTGTCCGAACATCGATTTATTTTTTATTTTACAATTCCACAGCGACGATATACGATAATAAAACGTATCGCGGGAAATTGCTACCGATTAAATCGACAGTGGTAAAAACATATTGCGTTCCTAAATTTGCCAAGTGAACCCTCTCCCCCCCGGGGTGTCCTGAATATAATCTGTCATACACAGTTCGACACACGGAACTACTGTAATAGTTGTGTTCCGTTGAATCTCGTTAAGTCGTCAGGATACCCCGAGTAGATGGGATCCAATGCGCGCGAAAACGTTCTAAAGTTTACAGAAAACTTAACTTCAATGATAACTAACGGAATGCACGAAGAACAATTGTCTCTCTACAATGAATTCAAGCCGGGTGCGCCTTATTTGGCGAACAAACAGCGAACATTCGATTGATAAACGGTCGGTCGAAATGATCAACGCGAGAAGAATCCAAGTCCTTTCGTCCTTCTGTTCGTTCGCTCCAGCGTGCGCATCCAGCTTTGCGGTACCACTTTTATCTCTCACTTGTGCACGATCACGCGTTTTTTTTTTTTTTTTTTTTTTGTTTTCATTCAATACAGGATGAGGTAGGACGAGAGGCACAACATCCGTGCAGAGGCTAATTCCTTGTGTAAAGATAAAATCGAAAAGTTAGTAGAACAAGTTGGGTTTTCTCTCTACCTCATAATGCTTTGCTCTCAAGAAAGACGACGATCTATACAAAACATCAGTTTCATTCATTGCATTACCTGATAAATACATCGCGTTTTTACACAAGAAGTCACCTGTCCCACTCCACTCTGTATATTGTCAAATATATATAGATATATAATATATATACATATTACATATGTATGTAACTTATTATATTGCTACACGATCAATAATTATATCACAGCAACGAAAACAGTCGGCCACTAAACGTGTGTCTCTAAAACGAAGACTCTTCGTTAATAAATAAATAAATAAATAAATAAATAAATAAATAAAATCAAAATCAGTGCCTTTGTAACGTGAAGACAGTAGCACCTGGAATCTACTTACAGGAGAAACGCTGACGAAGTGAATTGTATATTCGTACTACGTCGTCGCGCGATCGCAGTGCTCCGGTGGATGCACCTTGTGAGAATAAAATCACAGAAAAGGACAATACGTTTGGTTTTTTTTTTGTTTTTTTTTTTATCGTATTAACAAGAACAGAAGATATAATTACGTTTTGTTCCGACCGCTTGAAAAAACCCTGTTCTCTCAAAAACTTACTGCTCCCGTTAGCAACAATTTTCAGTCTTCGAGACGCGAACGCTTTGTCTCTCTGTGTAACAATTCCGATTCGTCAAAATGTCAAAATCAACAACAATTTCTTCGCTAATAATAACACGACGTACACACATGAGCCGGTCGCACCGGCCTCTTGCTCGGTCGGATCGATTCTGATATTCATTTTACAGACGCACGCGAACGTTTTTCTTACGCGCGCGTCTCAACCATCATCAACCTCACAACCTGAATCATTTAAACGTATACGGCTAAATGTGGTTTTTTTTTTTACTTTTAAAAAACATACGATTCTCTTATATATATATATATGTATAGCTCCTAATAATCGAGAAATTGCTTATTGGACAGCGCGCGAATGCCGGAACCGCGAATGTGCTCTCTCGCGTACTCAAGAGTGCGAATTCTCGAAGAGAACCTCGCAATCGCGTCGAAATTGCTGGCAATTGGTTCGCACTAGTTCCCGACCGTCGTACGAATGTTGTGTATTGACTGAATGAGTTGAGCATTACTAGAATTGTCTCGAATAAAAATGTTCTCACGTTCAAGATAATTAAATTAAGTAAATAAAATATTAACAGTACTTGATATTTCTTAGCAAATTATTTTGTTTATTTGAATCGCTATATTGCAGAATTATTCGTACTAGGTAATGCGAATACTTGTACAAGATAGTTTTTGTTAATACATAGTTTTTTATTTACAATATAATTAAACTTGCATAAACGAGCAACAGAAAAAACTTTACGTAATAAATATTTTATTAAAAATTGAAAACAACAATTGTGTAAAAACTACGTTACAACAATTGTGTAACTACTACGCAAAAAGACTTACATAATGAAAACTTAAAAAAAAATCCAGTGATGTACAGTAACAGTACGTGTCACCTTAGATAACGCTCTAATAAAATCTATCTCTGTGCATACTAAAAACAAAACATTACATGCCTTGTTCGCGTTCACCTCTAATCCAAATAAAATTGTGCCCGGCGTTTATACGAACTTTTCGCGAGCACATCGAGAGGCTCCGCGCGCCGGCACATTAACCGCTAAGCATGGAGATATTTCGTAACGTGTAAAGAGACGGAGAGAATATCTGTGGCAATAATACTGAGTCCCACTATTCCAGCCGCTACGGAATTTCACACGGCTCGTTTTACGTTCGTTACGCGCTCTCTCACTTCACAGTTGGGATCCCACGGCGAGATTGTCACGTCGCGTCGCTACGCAACCAACACACACATTCCTGATTGTTACACATCGGCATTTACATGAAATATGAGATAGAAAAAAAAAACAAAAAAAAATGTGTGCAATAACAAGGGCACGCGACGTAATAACCGCGCCGTGATCGTGACAACTCTTAACAACTAGGGACGTTTCGTGAGCGGAGATTTTCGCGCGGAGTTGCAACAACTCACACTGATTAATTTAAATTGTCGATAATATTATTAATATGTATCTACGTGTCGACAATTGTGTGAATCGAGAAACTCCCGACGAAATGATTTAGATAATCGCACAAAGCTCTATATGCTAAAAGTTCAAAGTGTGAGTTCATCTCCCATTAATAACCACGATTGCTTGTTCTCAGAAGCGGAATCTCTGGAAATCTTGTTCTTGTCCTTATTCACTTTTGTCTCAGGTCTATGTAAGTAACCTTTTCACCGGGATGCTTGTTCCTGACGTGGGACATCACGTTAGACGTCTGCTTGCTGCGGAAGTCGCAGTACGGGCACTTGAACATCGGAGGCTGGCCGCACTCTAACTGGTAGTGTCGAGTCATGTTGCCCTTGGTGGTGAAGGATTTATCGCAATTGGGACAGGCAAATGCTTGTCGCAGCTGAGCCTTCACATTGTAAAAGTTCCTCTTGCGATTATTCTGAAGAGAGTAACTATTTTCGGAGTTATATCCCGAATCTCCGATTCGGGACTCGAAGTTGTTGGATAGAAACAACATGAAGTTGTCTAGCTGTGGAGCCGGCGCGTAGAAACCTGGAAAATTTCCAAGGTTGGCCGGTTAGTTGGCCGCGACCTCGTTCTACGAGGATGAGAGTTCGAGGGAGCCGGTTCAAAAGCCAACAAAAAAAAAAAACTTTTGGACCTTGCTCCCGTCGAAACAGTTATAGGGAATATAATATTTTGCTCCATTGCAGTAACCCTTTACGGGCCGAAGGAACTTTGACATTTCCAGTTGATTCGTATGCATTGACTTTATATCATCGGTACGGCTCGTTCAAATATGCTCTTTCTTATTTTAATATCTAACAACATAAATACAAGTTATAAAAAAAAAAATTTGCAATTCAGAATTTTTTTCACATACTTCGTACGGTGCAAAATGTTAATTTTTCCATCTTTTAAAATTAACATTCGAATATGTAATTGCAATTTTGTCAATACCACTAGTAAATCGTGTAAAACTACAAGAAAAAAAGAAAATTTTGTGAACATTGAAGCATCTGACTCAGTCACCAATTTGTATACATTTACCATACCCATTTGTATACGAAGTACATATTTGACACGCGTACAGAAATTTCTGTTACTTTACGTCTGGAGTTCCATTCGGTCTAGAAACCGCAAAGGGTTAATAATGAAATGAAGAATACCTTTGAGAACCGTGGAACATCTTCCTGACGAACTTTTGTTGTGTTTAGCAACGCGCGAGATGCGTATGGAGACGCAAAGTGTGACTTGTGTGTCGGAATTACTATTTGGAGATCTAAATCACTACCGTGTGTTTATTTGTTAACGAGAATCTACTAGAAATCTATTTTCAACTAGAAATCTATTTTTTTTAAAAAGTCGGAGACGTAATGTCGGTTGTGCAGTCTTCGGGTGATGAGAGATTCATCCTTCTCTTCGCGGCTGGTCGAATATACATATATATATATGTATATATATATAAACATACATATATATATAAATATATACATATATGTGTAAAAAGGGGGATTGTGAACAAGTATTGCATGAATGTCTATCCCGCTGCGTCAAGCCAAGCGTCTCACAGCGGTAGACATGAGATAAAAACTGCGATAAAATTTTATTATACAAAACAACGTTACAAGCGAATTGCGATTTTTACAAAGTAGAAGCAACAATTTTCTTCGGATCTTAAATTACGGCATTAACTATCCAAACATCTCTTCCGATGGTGGCGCTTCTTGGCTTCAATCCTCGCTTGAGTCTTCAAGTGTGTGTGATGCGAGACAATGTTTCTCAACGCGAATGGTATCAGCCGTTCGTAAGACACTTTCTCGGTCGTTATAAATTTAACCCGGAAATAATCGCGCGAAGTTTTTATTTTTGACTTCATCAGCAGTAAAAAAACCAACCTTACGTCAAAATTTAAATTTTTTTGCCGATCGAAATCTATACTTACTTTTCGACTGAATCTTGTATATTAAAAACTTACTGCGACGCACGGTATTGTTAAATTTTGTTAAAATTCGAAGAGAGAGCGCGCGACTAATACTGGGTTAATAACGGGAAAAGAAAAAAACGTATATCTCGCGTAGGAAATTCTACTAAAAAACATATACAACACAATTATTAACAAACTTAAATTTAAAAAATAAAAAACAGAAGATAAAGATATACACATCTCGCGTAAAACTCTTAAGTACCGTAAGACAAGAGTTTATTCTTCCCGATATAAACTTGGAAGTTTCATTAATCACAGACTTTTCATCGATATTGTATTTATAAAAAAATATTTACAACATATATAAAATAATTCAAAGAAAATAAGCGTGTAAAATATATACCGTGGAAAACGAAATTAAAGATGATAACAAGCGGGATTGAGAAACACTGGTCTTCAATAATAAATGTACGAAGATCGCGGTAAAGCTCGGAATGGAGAGACGGAATATGTATATTTAAGTTTGAGATCAGGTATGGAATGGAGACTCGCGCGATCTTCGTGCTCAGAGCTTCATGTCGAAGATAAAAACCTCTTCGTCCGGATGTTTCTTCCTGATGTGGGCGTAAACCGGCGAGGTTTGCTTGCTGCGTAGTCCGCAATACGGGCACTGAAACCTCGGCTCGTGTCCGCACTCGTAGTTCACATGGCGGTCCTTGTTCCTCTTCAGGGTGAAACCACGCCCGCATTTTTGGCACTGGAACGGCTTCATGTTGTCGGCGCTGACCTTACGCGGACGTATCTTCGATTTTCTGGACGCCTCGGAATTGTTCTTGCGCTCCGTACCCGGTCGATACTTGCAGATCATGTTCGGTCCGAACGGCGGCACCACGGAAGGGCCTGAAACACGGAGACGAAGATGCTGAAGAGCATGCTCGAGCGCACGCGAGAGGGAGAAAAATTTCTAACGATGTGACCGTCCGCCGTACGGCTTTAGGCTTTCAGGTATCATCAAATTCTCCAGCAAGCAACGTGTAATAACGAAAAAATGATTAAATCTAAAAAAGATATGTTCCTCGCGACGTGAACCTGCACGTGCTCAGCATTTCCGTCTTCTTCTACGCGCATAAATAAGTCGCTCGTACAAACGTGTGTGCGTGATGATGTTCTTAATTGACAACAATCTGAGATATCTGAGTGTGACTGACCCATCTTGCGGATATCAAGAAAGATTTCCGTTATACAACAATAAGCAGCATCTTTATTTCTCAATAAAAACAAATGCGCCACTATCTTAGTAGAAAGTTGGCGACGATTCACAGTAACAATGTGTATCTCTTTGTAACATTAGAATAAAATACTCGGAGAAATCGACACTCTCGTGCCGTAAAGGTGATCAACACAAGGGTTCTCCAAAAACAAGCCAAATAATTTGCGGAGCGCTGCTGTATATTTTATTGAAGCTCATATTTGGCCACGTGGCAAACACACAGTGTTGTAATCAATCGCTAATTGCGATCGGTTCTCGCGGAAAACATCAGTTTCCGCGATCGCAGTACAGAGAGTCTGATGAGAGTCTAGCGAGTCTGCATGAGATGGCGTGTGTTCCTCTTCCGCTATCATTTACCTATCGCACAATAACAGTACAGAAATCTGATTCCGTAGGTTTTGTGCTCGGTTGGCTTCACTTTATACTTTGTATTTTTGGAAGAAAGAAACACCACTTCTTCTATCCGAAAACAGGTGATGTATCTCTGATGTCGTAAATTCTCCGATTCCTGTGCCCGTTTCCGTCCTGCACACGCAGGTGTGTTCAGGAGATAACTTGCGGATGCCTGAAACATAAAGACGAAAATGCTGAAGGATATGTTCAGACGTGCGTCCAGATGAGACAGATGGTCATCCGACATTCAATTGAAGTTACGTCGTCAAATTCTTCGGTCACCAACGTGGAGCTGAGAAAGATGCACTTCACAGTGTGTGTGACGACGTCCCGGCATTTCTGTTTTTTGTCCATACGCATTAAAAAAAAACACACACACAAAGATGGCTAATAAACGCAATGTATCATTTATGACACACAATATTTATGGATAATTTTATTTATCCACAATATTATTGCATATCGCTGAGCGAAAATCCGCACAAAAGTAAAAAAACAAAAAACGACGACGATATGATTCGTCAATGATAATCAACAAAATCAATCAATAAAATGACAATGGACGTAAAAACATACACACACATGAAATAGAGCGGTTAAAGGATTGTTTACAAATAAACCAGTTGGCAATATTCTTTATTTAATCTTAAATCGCTACGACAAACATATTCTAAATCACAGCTCTCGAAAACGACGTAAATAACAAAAAACATTTTGTTACAATCAGGTATATTTGATGATGTGACAGAAGATCGGTACGTTGATGAAAGTTTACTTTGAAAAACATCGATCGAAAAAATTCAAAGACGGAAGACGGTGGTTAAATAATTGTATGTACAATTACGCACAGTCATTGAAAGTGAAATAATACAAGTAGATGTCTGTTTTCAGTTTTGACTAACAGTTTGCGAAACGCGATCTGATATACGTTACATTAAAAGATTCTTGTATTGTCACATACAAGAATCTGCGATTCTTAAAAGTGAGAGAGACAGAGAACAATTACAAACGATTGAAGGAAGAGGAGGAGGAGGAGGAGGGAGAACAGCTTAAAACTTCGTTAAGTATATCGTTTCGTGGCTCCTGCCAGACTAATTTCGAATTGGTTGCGATATCGATGCAGAACAGCTTGTTGTCCGGATGAAATGCGCGTATATGCGTCCACACGTGCGTGCGCTGTCGCAACCGGTGCTTGCAGTACGGGCACTCGAATCGCTGCTGCATGCCGCACTCGTATCTGTAATGCCGCAGTAAATGGCTGCGGTGCTTGTAGCTGCGACTGCAGTTCGGACAGTGATGGCGTCCACGCGCTATCTGCTGATCGTGGTTAGCGCTAGAATAAGCGTTCTGGACAGACCATTCCGGGAACGAATCTGAAAAGAAACAGTTCAATCTGGTTAGTCTCTGAGCGAGTAAAAGCTCTTCAACCCTTCGAGAACTCGTCCGAGAACGAGTTACGTGAAAGCATTTATAGAACATCCGAAGATCTCTCGTGTGATCTTGCTGTGAAAATATTTTACATACATATAAAAAGTGTATCCGACGAGAGAGAACAAAAGCGCAAACACTAACAGCTGTAAAACCATCGTGACGTTACATTGGTGAACGTGAGAAAAGTTGAACGTGACGATGACAACAGAACACATGTGACAACAACGTATCCGTCAAATCGAAACTTTTTCCTCGACACAATCGACAACTTTAAAAATACACATACACATCAATATTCAGTGATAATAGTAACATTTTAAGTAAGTTTATTTATATTATACCGAAGTGTTCCAATCACAAAGTTATACAGTGTATATAATTTTAATATGTATCGAAGGATAATTAATTGTATTAGCTTATGAACTGCTTTGGCTTCGTGCTTACGATAAATATTAAGATGAGAGCTTGTGAAAACCGCCGCAACCTAATAAATAGTTCGCTTATTAGAAATTAAAACAGACAGCGTAGTACGTAATAATATGTAATAACAATAATGTAAATTTATGTATACAACCAGGTAAAAATAACAATTTGCCTGTTTGTTGTCAGAAGGCGAGCAACATCCGACAAAGCGGTGATCGGGCTCTCGTTCACATCCGTAAAAGATTAATTAAATATATTCGTCGTTACTACATAACAAAAGTTTATCTTCCACTTCACAGATTTAACAACCTTCGATGCGACATCGATATAATCATCGATGCAAAACTGTCATCTCGTTAAAACATCGTCGGCGTAAAAAAGAAATCCGATTCTACACTCACTTCGCTCGTACGACATAAAACTCGATCGAATCTACTCTAGTTTAACGGAACAAATCCCCATTTCTTCACCCGTTCGCTCGCTCGCTCGCTCGTGACAGCAAGTACACATTGTGTGCGAATCCTTACTTCACCCCTGCTGGATGTCGATGGTGTAGATCTCCTGGTTGTGATGGTGGCTCTTAATGTGCGAGTAGACGTGCGAGCGGTGCTTGCCGGCGTAAGAGCAGTGCGGGCATTTGAAGCGCGGCGCTTTGCCGCACTCGTACTTGAGGTGACGGAGCAGACCGCGATACCACTTGTACGTCTTGCAGCACGTGGAGCACATGAAGTTCCCGCGCGACGTGGTGATCCCTCCCCGCGTCCTGGTCAGTCGGCGCTTGCGACGACTCGCGGCCACGGACGCTACGGCGCCGCCGTCGTAGCGGTAGTAGATCACTGTAAAAGCACACGAAGTTCATCAGTTTGAAAAAACCGATTGTATTCGCTACGTACGAGAAAGAGAACAGTAAGGAGCAACGAATCTATATTTGTTTTCTCAAACATGTTTGCGCTGGTATTTTTCGTTTTATATCCGCTTTTCGGTAGAAGTCACTTTTGTTTTTCTTGAGACAAAACGAACAAAATGACAAAAGAAAAACATAATTGGAGATAATGTGAAGAGCGTGTGTAAACCGTGAGAACACTGCGGTAAGTCAAACAGCACAGGATGAAAACAGACAGACAGACAGACAAGGAAAGAAACGAGAGAAAGTTCGACAAAGTAGATGTGCGGAAATTGTTTATTTATTTACATGTATATATATATACGTATATTCACCTTTGAAGGTTGTCAAAGTGCAGTGAAAAATGAGTAATGTTTTCTTATACAAACATAATATTCAAGAATAAAGTTTGAATCACGTTTGGTATTGAAGTTCTCTCACAGACTAGAGATATCGGTATGGTATGTTAAAATTACATAATTGTCTCTGACAAAAGAATTCGTAGCAAAAATTAAAATTTCACAGGCCGTCATTTCCTTTCCTCGCGTGCGGAGGACCGTTTTTTTTCTTGTTTTGTTTTGTTTTGTTTTTTTTCTTTTTTCATGCGGGACAAGCGTCGCTGCCGAGGTCCATCGTCGTCACATACATTTTCGGATGTAATCCGCGCACGTGATTGTAAATGATCGAGCGATAATTCGCCCGCTTGGGGCAGTAGGGACACTTGAAGCGCGGTGATCTGCCGCAGCGGTACTTCTCGTGTCTCTTCAGGTCCCTGTTGTTGACGTATCGTCTGTCGCAGCGTTTACAGATGAACCGCTTGTTGTATCGGCGACGGCGCTTGCCACCTGAAATCGAAACGACCGTCACGATTAGAAGAAAGAGAGAAAGAAGAAATCGAGTTCGCGATAGAAACAAAATACGTGACATTGATTTATCGAAGTGGGTTTATCCTTCGACATTTCACCTTTCACCTTTCGCCATGAGGAGACAAAGAAGCCTATTCTGTTGTGAAGAAACATTGAAAATCACTAACAAAAAACCACTGACTCAACACTGAAATTATTTTATTGATCTCCCCTTCACCACAGACGGGAATAAATTTTCACTTTTCGTGAGTGTCTAACAGAGGAAACGAGGAAACTTATAAAAATTATCGAGCTGCAATACCGATGCAATAAATACGCATTATGTTCTCACGGAAACGTTCAGTATAACCGTCTGAAGCACAGCTCCTGACCGGGATGATACTTTCGGATGTGCGCGTAAATGTTCTGCGTGAACTTGGAAGGCTTGTCGCAGTACGGGCACTGGTACTTGGGCGCCATACCGCACTCGTGACGCAGATGCCGCGTCATGTTCTTTTTCAGTGTGAAGCCGCGGTTGCAGCGCGGGCAGTAGTGACTCTTGTTCACGGAGTACTCTTTGCGCCGCTTCCGGGCGTTCTGACGAGCACCTGAAAAATTCGAAGAGCCGATTAGTTTTATTCGCTTCTTCGATTCTTTTTATTTTTATTTATTTTTGGGGCTTTTTTGCTCTTTCGTTCTCGCTTTCAGATCGCGCGAGTCCGCAAAAGATCCTTCGTCGTCGACAACAGCGGGATACAAACGAAAAATCCAAATAACAAACGAATTTAACATTCCATTAGATTTAATCAATCGAAGAGCGAGAACGACGTTGATTTATCACAACAAAAAACAGATGTGTCCTAGGTGTAAGTACAAAAATCTGTTGCAGAATTGTCACAACAAATAAATAATAACGGTGTGAAACACAAATCGTGATGACACTGTGATCAGAAAAACAACGTAGATAAAAGCCATACACGATTTATTTCGCATTAAAATTCAAAGCTCGAGTAAGAACGTGATATACAAACACAGTGTGATACACATCAGACCACAATATGATAAACGTCACGTGCGAAGAATCACTTTGTTGAAGTTTCTTCAACAAGTTAGGAGAATAATTCGATAATATAATCACATCAAGCTGCTGCGAAACACAACAAAAAATACACTCGTTAAAAAAAATTAAGTGTGAATTTCATGATCACAAAGAATGTTGTTAATAATTTTTATAAAAAAGTGTCTTGCAAATAAAAATTATAAATGTGCAATAACGCGAGTGTCATACTCTGATTTTTAAATGATAAATCCAAACTATGTAACTGATGAGATCTTTTCGAGCAAGTAAAGTCAACAGAGCGAAGAATAAATGTCCGCGAATGAACTCCAATAAACAATTCAAGTGTAAATCATGAACATTTTACTTCTCGAAGACACATTGTATATAAATGCTATATAAATTATCAACTTAATACAAAATTAATCTCACAATATCAAATTAACGTACAAAAAAAATAAATTATATACACAATCTCGAACAAATTTCAACATTAACAATAAAAAATAATTTCTGAGACGATTTAAATATCATCATTAGATTCACAGAAAAAAATTGTTTACAATCGCACATCAAAATTCTCTTATTACTTTACATATTCCGTATACGATGTTTTAAACATTGATTAAATATAATATCGTTTTTTAATAGGTTTTTTTCTTCTAATTTTTCACAACAAGTTGCTTTAAATTTTAAAACAACTTGTTCACCATGATTGCTTGATTTTTGTGCCACCGTCTGATATGTCTGTAAACATTCGAGGACGAATTGTCCCTCTTGGCGCAGTAGGGACATCCGTAACGTGGTATTCTGCCGCATTTGTGTCTAACTAAATCCCACATCCTTCGAAAACCCGTGTGGCACTTCGGGCACACATAGGTAGACACTGCTTTCGCCCGTTCGTCCGGATACCACGATGCCGGCTGAGCATCTGAAAGCAAATAAAAATATTCGAATACCAAAGGGCGATTTTTGCCGATCGCGCGATCTGTGTGATATATGTATAAAGTATATACGATCATAAACGCACATTGGCGGATAAATTAATACCTCCAATTTGGCGTTCTAATTCAATCACTACATTAACCAATCAACCTACACAAAGATATGCTTTCCAAGATCGTAACGCAAGTAAGTCCCGATGTAGTGTCCTGTGATGTGTAAGAATCAACATCCGAGATGGTAAGTGCGCCATGAAAACGATGTGCAATTTGTTTTTATTTCTATTTTAGGTGACGTTAAAAAAAAACTTTCATTTGTTTATATTGCATAAACAATTTCCCTGTCCTCGTTTGTCAACCGTACGCACAGTTTTCTCTAACGTTACGCTCACAAAAACTACGTTTACTACGTAAAGGTGCAGATGTGTTTGTTTTTCTTTTCTTGCAAACAACTTGTAGTTGAAGTTGAATTTTTATATAAAGAGTTTGTTTTATTTGGGGATAAAACAACATATTTTCGAGCACTTTTAACGAATCAGATTGTCAATTGTACAGAGATTCGCACACAATAAAATGGCACAGTTCGCAATGCAATTGCTTATTTTCAAAAAAAATCTATGTCTAATTATGTTTTGTGTACAAACAAAGATTTACATACAATAAATATGTTACACTATAGATTCACACACACGCGCGCACACGTATATATAATATACACTATATATATTAGTTTATACTATATATGTATATACATACATATATATATATATATATATATATATATATATATATGCGTGTTTACACATACGTACATTTTGCATAAAAAAGATATATATACAATTGGTTTAATAAATCATATCTAAAATGTCCTATGTGTGTTTTCTATAGTTTCGATAATAATTTGACTGTATCTCTCTTATAAAATCAACTCTATGTACACTCTACATTATTAGATGATCATTTTAAGAAAAAAGTATCAACATTTCTTGTCTCTCTTTTTTCTGTTAAAAGTCCGTACGTCTGTTACGACAGAACTTGGCACTCAAACTTCACATCAGAGAAGATTGTTATTTTCTTTGTAACTACCGACTTTGCGTCAAGTTTTGTTCGTTAGTTATATAAACAAAAAAAAAAAGACTCTGTGTTTGCACTTTTATAAATATAGAAAACAAAATAAAATAAATTCATTCACCAGTCTCGTTATCAATAGAAGAATTCAAATTTTCACATAAATGTAGTTAAGATGACTGTCCGATGGCAGATGACGAATTATAGAAGGAAGAGCTGGAAGAGCGCGGAGATTCTAACTTGTCCACGTACACCGGTTTCCCGTCGTGTCGTACCCTGATGTGTTTGTAAATGTTAGACGAGCATTTGTCCCTCTTGTTGCAGTAAGGACACTTAAATCTTGGCTCCTTGCCGCAATCGTACTTCATGTGCGTCATCAGCGTCTTCTTGTAGGTGTAACCGGCGTTGCATCTGGGACAGTGGTACTCGGTGATCTTGTTATGCTGCCGGAATATCGACAGTCTTTTCTCGTGATTGGCCTCGTTCTGGTAGTTCCGCAAGATGTCGAGTATACGGGCTTCGCCGGACGGTAGAAATGTTCCTAAAAACAAGCAAGAAAGGAAGTCGCGGTTAGTCGGAGCCGAACACGGGACGAACGCAACGTAGCTTTTGGCTTAGATCAGAAAACAGAACGTAACACGAAAAGAGAGAGAAAGAGAGAGACGAGTTTGGGAAGAGAGCTCGAACGAAAAGGAGCTCGCTCGAGAGAGAGAAAGAGCGAAGAGTCTTCGCGTCACAAAACACGCAAGGACGAAGTCAACAAGGTGGAGAATGAGGACAAAGCAGGCCGTAAAGATCAATCGTTTCGCCAAGTAGATAAAATAAAAGGAAGAAGCGGGAACACAATATCACAGTATCGACGACTTCGTTATTTTAACCGTGCGTGCGTGTCTAATATATTCAGCGACGAACAGCACCGGACAACCAGAGATGCGACAAGAATAGAAGAATGTGATTCTTCTGCGATTAGACTGTGAACTCTTCTCGCGTTGCGCCGTCATGATATCTCACTTACTCGCGAAGCTTATGAGCTTGAACGTTGAACGGCGGCATCTTGACGAAATGCCGTTATTTGCTTCCTGCGCAAAACATGCGTTTTACGTGACTCAAAAGCGTCGAATCGCGTGGATAATTCTGCCTTGATGATATCGCCTGATGTGCCTGTACGTGTTGGACGACTTTCTGTCCTTTTTCCCGCAGTAAGGACACTGATATCTCGGCTCCTTTCCGCACTCGTGTCTAAAATGTGTCATCATGTTGGACCTCTGGCTGAACGAGACGCCGCAGTTCGGACAGACGAATCTCTCGGGATAATCTGCAACTTGATCATCCAAACGGAGCACTGAAAACAAAAAAGAAACAGATCGAGATCGAGATCAGTAAGAAGCATGCCGAGAAGTGCCTGTGTCGACGTTCCAAATGACTAGAAATCCAAACCAAAAAAAAAAAAAGAAAAAAGAAAAGATGAGACAAATATAAGAAACGAAGTAACAATTCTCTAACTTGACAGATAGTCTCGAGTTAGTATCTTCAGAGAGACTTAGTCGTGAAACTTCCTTTGAAGTCGGAAAGAGATGATGACAACCCTTTGATTAGGCCTCCGACTCGTTTTCCGACCGCATAGGATTTACCTGTACGAGATACAAATAACGACAAGTGAAAAAGAATAATGTTAATAAATATGTTAAGAAATATGTTCCTGATCTGAATCGAACCTGCAAAAGAGTGATGATTTTCAATCTTCCACTTAAGTAAGAGTCGTCGTAAATGTTTATTGAACCGACAAGAAATACGATAAAAAAACAAACGTTGTCTTTTATTCGATCAATATTTATAAACAACAACTCTTTTATTGCTCAGTTGTAGTCGGAGAGATGATATAATTACAAATCCACACAGAGCAACAACGTATAATATAATTGTTTTGTCGAAAACATGTGTAACCAGTAAACTTATCACTTATAATATTTCATTCTGTAACAACTCAAGCTATATACTTAATAAAAACAAACATACATTCTCTCTCGAATGTAAAGTGCTTTGGAAATGTAACTTCCAATGATCTTTAATTATAATTAAAAACAAAAGAAAATCAATCACAAACACAAGCGACAAAAATCTGATATGAAATAAACTCTTCTATTTAATTTTTTTTAAAGGAGGAAAAAGTAAGATTATTAAAATTAAGAATATACTTAAAAAGTATATTCTTAAGAAAAAAAAAAGATTACTTAAAAAGTATTTTTTTTTTCTTAATTTTAATAATCTTACTTTTTCGGTATATTCTGAACCACTGACCAAATAGTATTGGCTTAATAAGTCCGGAAAAACTTGATATAAATGACTCAAAACAAAATAAAAACTGAATAAAAAAATTAAGAAAAAAATTTAAAAAAAAAAAAAACAGTATACACCGGTAAATCGACAAGTGCTTGTCGACGATTGCTTGTTTTATTGCACTCGATCTGGTTTAAAAAAAGGCATGTGTTTATGTCGCCTTCGCACGTGCTTGTACACGTTCGAGCTGTATTTGGACTCGTAGCAGCAATAGGTGCACCGGAAACGGCTCTCGTGATGATTGCCGCGGAATCGCTGATGGCGATGCACCGAATCATCCTTTGCCAGAATGCCGCGAGTCGAGCCGGTTCCACGAGACCAGCCGTCGCTATAGAGCATGAATCCACCTGCAAGAATTGTCACAGAATCAGAAGGATTGAGCGTGCACTCCCATTCTGCGCTTTTAGCGCTCCCGTAAATAAATACCTCGACATTTCGATATCTGGCTCACTTTGACCTGAAAGATAATACTGGTCATATCATGATATATTTTTACAAAGGATCTTCTCTTTCATTGTACGTCGATACCGACTTACTATATATTACAAAAGCGAAAAAACACAGAAAGCAAATCTACTCTCTCGAATTTAATGTCATTGAAGGAGGCGAAAGAATAATCGGCTTTACAAGGATGATTCGAAAATTGAAAAAATCTGAGACGAAAGAGTGACCAAACTTATATTTGTCAAAATGTCATGATATTTATCCGTGTTTTTTTCTGGATTTATTTATAAATCGATTTTTAATCTATTTAAAATTGAATAGAAAATACATACACTGTGATAGAATAAAGAATTAGCCATGAGAAGGGAAAATACAACACAAAATGTTTCATGCGCCTTATATGAAAAAAAAAAGGTAGTGCTGAGACAAAAGGTGCAAACAAACTTCGGAGAAAACAACTCAACATTCTTATCGTCGTTTAATTGCGAATATGCGTGATGGTACACATATACATATTTCAATATACATATTAATATATGAAACAGTGGCGAAACATGCTGGCCGAGCATTTAATTTCAAATTGGAAGTGGTTAAGAAAAATAAATTTTTTTTCTAATCATGTATATTTCTGTATTATCCATTTTACATTCAGAAAGTAAATCCAATTTTTTTTAATGCAGATTTTATATAAAAAATGTATGAACTTCGTTAATGATACAAATGATAATTGCGTTCGTAATTTTGTTGGTGATGTTCTTAGCGGTAATCTCATCTGTTTCATTTTCTTTCGAAAAACAATCTCTTTCTATTTCTCTTAACTTATAATTCTACAAGCGCAACGCGGTACAGATATTCGCGATTTTATCACAGAAACTTGTGTGTATTATTCATGCAAAATTATTAGGTTTTTATTATTTGATTATTTTCTTTGATAATAAGAAAACTTCGAAAAAAAGTTGCAATTTTTTTTAACAAACTGATCACGATATAATATATATATATACATATGTATATATATATACACATATATATATTATCTATGTAAATTACTTCATCAAATATAGACATAAAATTAGTTTCTATTTTATAAACATGTTTATAGAATATATATAAATAATAATTACAATATTATAATTTACATATATATAAATAGTACTTATATATATATATATGTATGTAGTACTCATATATATATATATATATATATATATTATATATATATAGTACTTATATATATGTGTAAGTGTACATATATATTACACATTTTATTTTACAGAAATAATACATATTATTTTACAATTTTTTATCGTATTTGCCTGTAAAATTTTTCAATGATTTTTAAGCGAATCGTTGCACTCTTTGTGTCTAATATTTTAATCTTATAAAAGTCTGTGACGTAAACTGTGGATGTAATGTAGAGTGTATATGTTTATCTCTTGTTGAATCTCAGTCTTTTCGACCTCGTATTTTTAATATAGCTTGACGAATCGCCTTTCCATGTTCTGATGTTTCACTCGGATGTGCCGGTATACTGCTTGGGTGTACTTGCTACGCATGTCGCAGTGTGGACACTTGAAGCGTGGCAGATCGACGCACTCCAGCCTGTAATGACGGCTCATACCGCCCGAAGTGTGGAAAACGCGCGCGCACTTAGGACATGGAAAACCGCGCCGGTTCAAGGCGGTCTGAAGTTTGAGCAAGTGCCAGGAGTTTCGCGTGGGATGCTTCTCCAGAACGATAGGCCTAAAGTCTGTAAACAGAAACAGAGAAAAGAGGGTCGTATACTAAAGCAACGTTGCGCGCAACCGTTTTTCCTAACAGAGACCATTCGGGAAAAGTAGCAAATTGAAAACAAGTTAGTGCGAAAGAATCTCGATACCTTCTTCTCGGGAGCGATCGAAGGTTGCTTCGATCTTGTCCCGTACACAAGTAAGAAACGATCGAGACCCAAGTCATATGCAACTGTGTTCTGTGTTTCATCAGAACTTTTCAATATTACATCATAAAATTAAAATATAAATGTAAGTGATAACGTAAATTGGTACAATAACATTTTATAGTAATAAATAATTAATAATGTATTTTATATAACATGTAGTAAAACACGTATATACATTATATATAGTGGTAAATATTATTTATAATTAATTATAAATAAACTGTATTTTCAAAAAACATATTTATTGCGCGTACTCTCAAATAGATGTCATTATTTTTTCAAATCAAATATAAAATATGCTTTTCGCAGAAAAACCGAGAATACGAGTGATCAACCTTCGACAGAACACCGAGAAGCAAATGTCGTTCGAAAAAGAAAAACAAAACCAGAATATCATTTCTTTCTCGGGAAAACAAAAGTCACGTGTCTCGCACTTTCTTTTATTGATATAATATCGCGTGTTGGTATATTTTATTAGAATATCATACACGAGCAATTGCCACAGGACTAATAGAGCTTGTTCACCGTGACCTGCTGTCCCGGATGGAGTTTCCGGATGTGATTGTAGATTGAGTGGGACCATTTGCTCACGTGGCCACAATAAGGACACTGATAACGCGGCAACGAGTCGCACTCGTATTTATAATGCCGGTACATCGAGTAGCTTTGCGAGAAGGATTTCTCGCACTTTGGACACTGATGCCGGATGGACGAAACCATCGCGGTCTCCACTGCCTTGCGTAATCGATGCTGCCGTTGTTGCGGCTGCTGCTGCTGCTGCTGTTGCTGTTGCGATCGTCGCGACATCATCTGATTGTGAGATTGCTTGTCCATTGCCGGTACGTCGCTCCGTAATTCTGAAACCGATGTCATCTCGTGTTAATCATTGTCGGCACGTTCGCACACGGCTACTGATACGGTTACTAATAATACGGCTAATAATGAAAAAACAAAAGAAAAAAAAACAAGAAAAAGGATCGTGTGTGAGAAGACAAAAACTTAAATACAGCAGCACCTGTTGCAAGTTGATACGAGAGTGAGCTGCGCGTTTCTCTCTTGAGTAACCTGAATATTTCTCGCGCGAGAACTGTTTTTCGGCATTAAAATTATAATATTAATATTGTGAATTAATTCTTATGTGTTTGCCTAACATGTGTTTTAATTACCACACAACGGATGTAGTCAGCGTGTTTCTGATGCTGGCGATGACTTCTTCGTCGTGTTAGTATAATGATAGGCCTTCCTATACACGTAGCTATAGATCGCCTGAAAAAAATCTAACAAGATTTATTCACAATTCGATTGTTCCACATCGGCGCTCGATTTGACAATTAATTTTTGTGATACGATCTTTGGTGAAAGAAATTTACCTCCCCTCTGTACATGTTAAAACAAATAAAATTTAATTTCTTAAGATGTTTTTTTTTTTTCAATTTTTAAGTAAAAATCACTTCTCGGTGATTCCAACCTTGACAAAAATTCTAGGGAAGGACGGAATGAGAATTGACGAGAGATAATGTAAGAAATTGTGACCCCTCTAGAAAAAAAAAAACCTATAATAAACATATCTGCAAATATGTATGTCACGTGTAACACGCAGCATTATCGTAAATAAAAGATAGAGAGATTCTCTTCGTGCGTTCTTTATTTTTTACATGATGTATAATAATAGATGATCTATGTACAATAATCTTGCAAAAAGCACGAAAAAACTTATTAGGATTCTTATTATCTGATAAACTTCGATCTATGTTTCTATATGTATAAAATTGTTACATTTAGTAATAATAAATAAATATTAAAACTAATAGAACGTCATCGCAGAATATACAACGCTAATGACAAAAACGCCGTGGATAAATATACTATAACGTAGTATAGTATAACGTAAAACTATAGTGACGAAGTAATCGATTTTTGAAAAATCAAAATTTTCAAACAACTCAAAGAATCACGCAAACGTGTTAGTGAAATTTCCCTGAGACGTTAGATGCAGTCCGTTTCTCGGCAAATAGCGGAACGGAAGGAGTTTTAACGTTTTATGTCCGTCTTTGTTCTTGTTAGTTTCCTTCACGTTGTTTATCCGATATTTTCAAAAGCAATAATAGTTAACCTGAGTTGCGGGAATTCAATAGAGTTTTATGAGCGTCACCGGTCTCTCGCGATGCATAGATCTGATGTGCTGATAAACGTTGGAAGTCTTCTTGCTGCAGAGGTTGCAGTACGGGCACTTGTATCTGGGCGCTTTGCCGCACTCGTATCTGTAGTGAGCGAGCATGGTGTCTCGTCTGCCGTAGCCGTTGTTGCAATTGGGACAGTGAAACTTGCCGGTGTCCGAGTTGAACCGCAAATCCCGTATCTTCATGTATTTACTGAAGCTGTTGTAAAGCGCTCTGTTACCTACAAAAGATCGTCACACGGTCAACATCGATCGAAAACGCTCGTGCGCTGCGTCTCGGAAATATTTTCGCCGACGATAAACGCATCAGAATTTCATGCAAAAAGAATATTCGTCAGAAGAGAAACACAAGAGAAATATATGTGTGTGTGTATATATATATATATATATGTATATATAAAGAAAACGCAGATATAGAGAGAAAAATAGAAAAGACAGAAAAATGGATGAAAACAAAGACGCAATATTCTACAAGATTGCAACTCGAGTCGCGTGACGTTTAAGAGCGGAAAATCCTCTTCTAGTAAAAAGGTTTTTTTATTTAACTTTTATTTTAATTTTAAAACAGGCGTATGTTATTGTTTTATTTTGACATGACTAAGTACATTCTCAGGTAACAAGATGCGTCCTCGCACGTACAACAATACCGCCTCGATTCGAAACGCCGCAATTTCAGAGGGTCACGTATGTCACATTAAACGAGAGTGTCAGAACATTTTCTTCCCGAGAAAAAGCTATACATATTTTTTTTTCGATCGGAACAAAAGACACACCTTCTGACAAAGTGTGTGACGAATTTGACGTCACACATCGCAGATAGAACGCAGTTAATAGTTCGCCACGAAGATGTCACAAAAAAATTCACAAAGTTGACCCTTTGTTTGCAGCAGTGGAGAAATCGGGATCGTCTATCCGGGCAGTACGGATAATTGATATTTATAGGTACGTTTGCTTCTTTGTGATGAAAAAAATATGCTTTTCGAACGAATTACTAAGTAAATTATTACTTTAAACTATTATTCCTTTTCTTCAATATCGTCACTATCTTTTGATACGTTGGCCACTTTAATTTTTTTAACATCTCATCAAAAAGTAACTATTGTAATGAATTTTACATCGCACTTTTAAGTTTGATCAGTGAATCTAAATTTCATCAATCTCACACGTAACATAAAACACATTGGACAAAAGAAAACAATCAAGACAATTAGCTACGTAAGTACCATGCTAACAATAAGTAAATATTTGTTACATGATACACAATTATCGATAGCTTCTACCTTTAAAACTTCGGTTTTAGGAAACTACATTTGATAAGGATCATAAAATTTTCGCAAATCGAAACTAAAGTAAAAACTCTAGAAAACATATATTTTTGTTTTCCAACAAATTCAATTTTCGTCTACAATGTTTGAATCTAAAAAAATAACATTTGATAATCGCCTAAACAGGTACGAAAGACTATCGACGTTCTTCCTCTCGAAAGAACGCAGACAAAATCGAAAAAGACAAAAGACTCCTCGGTTTCCTCGGATCTTGTGTGTGTCTATTCGCGGCAAAGCTCAAACGCGCAAGCAGCTGAATCAATTGCGAGTCAAAAGTCGACACTTAGTGATTTTTTGGCCGCGCAATCTGTTCTAGAAGAGCGTGTTGCAGGTTATCGGTCGCGACGGATGTTTGTGCCTGATATGATCCTGCACGTTGAATTTTTTCTTGCTGAGTTTGCCGCAGTACGGACACTCGAAGCGCGGCGGTTTGCCGCAGTCGTACTTGTAGTGGGCCGTGACGGCGCTCTTCGTGGTGTAGCTCTTGCGACAGCGCGGACACGGAAAGCGCGTTCTCGTTTTCCTCAGATTTTCGCCGCCCGGATGATACACCTCTTCCGTCCACGGTAGCGGTAACATTTGCAGAAACGCTGAAAAAAAAATACGGAAGTGCGCGGTTAGTACGATCTTTGTGATCTTTGTGTCTCTGCGAGATCGCGAGGAGTGAAATTTCAAAGGTACGCTCGCGATATCCGTCTAATTCTTTTTCTCTCTCTCTCGCTCTCTTTCTCTCTCTCACACTCTTATGTAACACGCACACCACGCACGAGAAAATGTTTCTTGTAAAAGTTTCGCCAGTTCGAAGAGCTCGAACGTAAAACTGCGAGGTGTTTCTTCGTATATTCGATAAAAATATACATAAAGAACCAAATCACTTTAAAAATTATTGGCAATGAATAATCATGTATCACTAAGGTGTGACAGTTACTCTCTGTCTCCTCGTCTTCCCATTTCTCATCTTGCTTCGCTAGACTGACGTGTTTCAGAATCATATGTTAAAATTACGCCACAGATGATTAACGCACGAGATACAACTACTCAAAGGGAATAATAAGCAATTTTATAAATTAATCACGTATTCAAAAACTATCTCACATACTTAGAAAGGATCTTATTCGTTGATTCGCAAATTAACCCAATGGAAAAAATATTCTAAGAATCTGTCGGTGTTTTTTTTTAGTACAGAATAAACAAATAAAGCAATTGAAGGTATTTTTAAGCTACATACGAATGGACTGCGCGATAGTCGATTACGTATCGTGTAATGAACAAAAGAACACTAAGATAGAGCGTGTGAAAGCGCACATAGCGTTAGTTAGTAGGACAACTGAAATTTTTACACTCACGTCATTTTGTCCACGTATCATTTATGATTTAAGGACATCCTACTGCTCTGTAAAAAGATGATCATTAAAATTACGAAAATAAATCACAGCCTCTCATTGAGAGATTGATTTGAATATGTTCTTAAAAATAGCGTGTTTAATTGAAGTCGTCGCGCGCGATCCAACGTTTTCAGTCATCCTGTGTAAAAAAAGAATGTAAAAACACATTACGTAATTAAACTAGAAATTTTTTATACATTTTTTTTAAACCAAAATATCAAACATGCAAAGTAAATTACATTTGGATATAAACGTTCAACGTCTAATTAAAAACAGCTCGTACATTTATATTTATTTACAAGTGACGTTTATTTACAGGTTACGCATGTACATATATATTATATAGATACATAAATGTATAAAAAATCACTTACATACATAAATTTACTTTTAACGAATTGCACTAACAGATTTCTCTTTTCAAATGCAAGTATGTTTTTTTAAGTAAAAACGATGTTTTTTCACACACATAAATCTTTGAAAAGAGATTTAAATTATATAACTTGGGATCGGATTTTAAAAAAGAGGAGCGGTTAACTAATATATTTTAATACTTACAAGTAATACTTGTAAATCTTAGAAGTTTCCTAAACTCATTATATCGCAACTAAATAAGTAAATAAATTATTGTATTTTTGATGAGATACTCGATATAATAACAATTTAACAGAGTTTTGTAATACCGTTTAGATAAAATAAATAGATAAAATTTGAGATAAAAGATATTGCACTAGATTCTCCAATGTAAACGCACTTTTCAAAGAGATTTTACAAATAATATTTATGAAAGTCTAAAATATTTTCAAACTTGAAGTATTTTCAGACTTTTAGAATAATTTATGTTCAGAAATCCTATCATCGAACAAGAAAGTACTCTTGGGAAAGTACTTGGGATAGTAACTCTTCCTTTCCACTATGTCGATGGTGAAAACGTCGCAACTCTCGTGCAGACGCTTCACGTGCTTGTAAGTGTCCGAAGGATATCGCGAACAATACGAACAGTAAGGACATTTGTAGCGCGGCTTCTTGCCGTTGCAGGCGCTTGTCACGTGGCGCTTTAAATGGTACTTGCTCGAATAGCTGTTGGGACAGTTCAAGCACTGATACGGTTTCGAGCCCCGGGAAGAATTAGAATACCATTTCGAACGTCCTGAAACATATAATCGGCAAAAGTGCCGTGCCCAATTCGTTAGTTTGAGAGAGAAGAATCAGAAATCGTGAACAATAAAATGTTTAACGGGTCAACATCAAGTTTCTTTTCGGAAAAAAATAGATTTCTTATAAATTAAATCTAAAAAAACTACACAATTACAATTATCTTTACACAATCGTATTTGCAACAACAAAAATATAAATTTAAAAAAATTGTTAAAACATTAAAGATAGCAAACAATGAAAGAATTATATTATTGCTTATTATAATTATATTATTGTTTTTATTTAATCGATAAGTTTTATTACATTTGTATTACTGCGCTCGTACATGTAATAATATAAGACAGAATGAACATGTGGAAGTAACCGTGCATGTAATAATACAAGACAGAATGAACATGTGGAAGTAACCGAAAGTTGCTGGCACATCGTTTATCCTCCCAATTTTTTTCGATCTTATGTTTATCATAGCATAGCACGCGTACATAAAAAATCTATCAAAAAACTTAAAAAATCTCACAAAGAAAAAGCATATTTGCCCACACAAGTTCCCAACATAATATCCATAGCAAAAACTTTTGCAGTTGTGTGCCATCTCCTGATATGCTGAAATATGGTCGACGTCTGTTTGCTACAATACTTGCAATACGGACACTGAAAACGTGGATCTTGTCCGCACTCATACTTCAAATGCCTTGCCAGATTTTTCTGTTCTGTATAACTGCTGACACAATTTTCTCGAGGGCATGGGAACTTCTTCTTTCTTTTTCGTTTTAAACGCGGATAGAGTCTTCCCAATACCTTAACGTCTGGAACACAAAAAATAAAAAACCACAGATAACAAGACGAACGATATGTAATAACAAACATAATAATCAGCTCTCGCTCTCGCAATAAATCTAATTCTATAATATTATACCACATTCCTCTCAACCCAGCGTTATGAAAAAAGAACATCTGCGTGTTGCTCTTGATAAAGTAAAAAATTTCTACGAAACGTTGATATAAAAATGATCTAACCCGAAAATCATTTTTCGGAATTATTACAACACACCGCAAGAGCATCGAATATCAAAAATTAATATAAATTACTATATGACAATGTCAGCGCATTGTAGCGTGTAGATAGTCAAAAAATACTTTAAATCATCTCTTTAACTAGTTTTTAAATGTTCTGTTTTCTTGTTTTTTTTTTTACATCAGACATGCATATGGGATATATACACGTAAAAAATAGTATTCTTCTATAACGAAGGAGACATGGAATTATAAAACTAAAATAAAGTGTTATTATTTTTTATTAGTAGTGTTCTAGTCACAAACGAGAGAAAATATTATATATTAGTCGCTTAGAACTAGCACGTGTGCGTCATATATTAATTACCAGATTATTACATCACTTATTGATTCGCAACATGCATTCACGTCATCAAACACACCCTGTATTATCCTTATTGATCGCATTTGTTAGAATCATCTTTAACCAATGTTTCTTTCTACGTTGATTTCTCTGATTGGCCTTCGTCAATCACGAAAACGTGACGATTCTTATGCTTAGCCCGTACGTGCTTCCGTACGTCGGTCTTGTACTTGCACTTGCAGTCGCAGTAGGGACACTTGAACCTGGGCAGCTGACCGCACTGATAACGAAGATGGCTTATCAGGTTTCTCTTCCACACGAAAGTGCTCCGGCAATTTGGAGTAGGGCACGGATATTTGTATCTGATGTAACGTATAGTGTTGAAGAAGCGTATTCTGTTATCTGAAACAGATAATGAATCGTCCGTGATAAGAAGTTTCTGAGTAACGATTGTCAAGAAATAAGAAGATGAACGAGAATCGCGCGTCAAATCCAAGTTTTCAACACTACATAAAAGTAACATTTATTTTATTATTATCACATTGAAGTAACATTTTTGACGATCCGATTAATTCAAATATAATCCTATGTTCCGTGACAGTTCTTTTTTTCATGAAACCTACGAGATTGTCTTTTTTATTTTTAAACATACTTTATATTCACAGGTAAAAACGTGTTCAGAAACATTTACCATGCAGTATTTAACATGCAATTTTCTTACTGAACTGTACACGAGAGCAAATAAACTGTGTGTAATTTTTTTTATAAACGTTATTATTTTTTTCTGAAAAATTAAAGTATAAACATATCTTAAAATACAATTTCTCACAATTAGATTACTTCAATCACATGAGGATTTGTAATAAATTTACTCTGAATTGATAATATTGCGATTAACAATACACGAGAATAAAGTGTTACAATTAGACAAACAAATGAAAATGAGAAATGAAGAAAAATGTTTGATATTTATATGTCATATAAAAATTTACGAAGTTTTAAATAACAAAGAAGATATCCTTCGATATTTAATGATTAGAAGACGCACGGCTGCGAAGTGTTTGCTACAGTAGTAGTGTCCATATTCGTTCTGGAAACACATCTACACAAACGCATTTTTTGACACTCCAGTGTCTTAGAGTAATACGTCATCTTGCGCTTGCAACAATAGTTGAAACACTTAAAACGAGAATAATTATATTTTTTTGGTATCTTTTTGCTAATGCAGATGTTCACTCACTCACTCACTCACTCACTCTCTCTCTCTCTCTCTCTCTCTCTGAAAGTGAAATCAAAATATCAATGTTACTAAAAGAAATTTCTTTTATTTATAATATATTTACAAATTGTCCATTACATATACTTATAATATAGATAATATTATATATAAAGTATATAATATTATATATAAAGTATAAACAATTTATGTAAAAATATTATATCAACACAAAAAAGTTTATATTTAGCAAACGACTGTTGTAATTGTTTTTGTGTGTGCTCTACAACTAATATAAAATGTTAACCATGGCATAAAAAGCGATATGATATAAGAACAAATACTTACAAGAATTTTTAAGAACAAGAAAACATCGAGCTACTCTTTTGCTTCTGTGAAAGAATTGCTCGGTATGTTCACGACATAGACAGCAGAATTCTTGTGCATTCTGCGAATGTGTTTGTTCATATCGGATTTGAACTTGCAACGATACTCGCAATATGGACACTTGAAACGCGGCTCCTTGCCGCATTCGCTGCGTAAATGCCTGTTCAAACTGCTCTTCCACGTGAAGATGCTGAGACAATTCGGGCACGGAAACAGGCGGTTGTCTTGCGAACGATGATAAGATTTCATCTTCTCTCTGAAGAAATCTTGATAGATATCTGTAAAAACAGACAATTTTGCCTGATTGATTGAAATGCCTTACAAAGTTCCTCTTACAGCTGCAGAAATATTTTTGGATATTTTACAAATCCATTACCGTCTCTGTAAACAAAAAAAAAAAAATCGAACAAAATCATTTTTGAACACAGAACAATGAAATGTTCGATCAAATCAAATTAATCGAAATTTGTAAGCTATCTTTTAAATTGTGATATAAATAAAAGAAATACAATAAGACTTACTTAAACATAGTAAGATAATGTGAAATTAAAATGCGCAATGCTTACGGCCATTTAATATCATTACAGCACTTATACATATCAATTATAAAGAAGAACTACTGTGTGGTCACAAACAATTACTTAACAATTATTTAAATAATTAACCTAAAGAAGCTTTGTTAAATCTCTCGTCACACAAATATTTATCTACAAAAATAATGTTATATCTCACGCACATGTATATTTTATACCAATAAAGCAACAATCATTATTAGTCAATAATTAAAATCTGGAAGAGATGAGGAATAGGAAAATGAGGAAATCAATAACTTCATACAGAAAAGAATGTTAACATTTATTTTTTTTATCTTTCTAAAATACGCAGTTTTCTAATATTTTGTATCAAAATATATATCGCGCGATTACAATAATTTATAGTTTTATGTACACTTTAGAAAAAACTAATCATAATAAATGTCAAAATATATGTTAAAATATTTATATTTGTAGTTAAAATATTTCAATAAAATAATTTATTTTCTACAGAAAATATAAAATATAAAGAAAATACAACATTTTCAACATTTAACTTTTTATTTATTTTTAAGTTTCATACTTAATAACTTAATATTTTTTCAGTCTAAAAATAAAAGGGAGATAGAATGACTTCCTCATCCAAATTTACACTTAAGTTAGAATTTTTTGATTTTATCGAAAGTGTCGCTATAAACAAATTTCATTTATAGTATATAAAAACATACATCCTACAAGTAACAATTTAAAAAAAGTTTTGATTAGCTGCGATCTGTTTCAATTTGTTGTCTGTCGCCCTCTGCGACACGTCTACGACATAAATAGCGGAGTTTTTATGAATCCTGGTAATGTGTTTGGTCACGTCAGCTTTGACTTTGCAGCAATAATCGCAGTGGGGACACTTAAAACGCGGTGGACGACCGCACTCGTATCTCAGATGCCTTATCATATTTCCCTTCCATTTGAAAAACTTGGCGCAATTGAGATTGGGACACCTGTAGAGTTCGCGTTGTTGCCCATCGTTGTTTTGATGCAAGTCCATTCGATAAGGTACTTTTCCGGAGAAGAACTCTGAAAGGGATATAAGAACGTTTCTGTGAGCCAAACTAGCCAATTGTTCTGTACGTACATTTCTTAACTTGTTAAAAGTAAAATCATATCACATATCATATACGTATACTTATATACATAGCTTCGAGATAGAGCAACATTATAAGTTTTAAACGTATATATTTTAACATTAGTTCTAATTTATCCACAAACTCTTTGTAAAAATATTAAAAGACACTTCAGAGACATGATTTAATCTGAGAGAGATTTTCGTGCAGTCACATTTTATTAACATTCTTACACTTTTTTGAGAATTATATACACATAATTTTCAATCGTCAAAGTATCGTTGGATTAAATAAAAAGTAAAAACTCTTTTTTAAAAAAGAAACCTACACCATTAAATTACAATCGTACAAAACTATCACGTGAGAAATTATTCAAAAATATCGTCTTTTTATATTCGACGAAATAAAACAAACTGCAAAGAATAAACACATAAAAGAGTCTGAATAACGTTTGTTCCCGATTTGTCATAATATTATGCATAGTTTACTTTCTAAAATCTATTGGTGTTGTAGGTTGACAGAGAGAGAGAGAGAGAGAGAGAGAGATCTAGAGATACACTATCTAATAATATTCTATTATGTGTGTACCTCTTCATTTATTTACAGTTTTTCTAATTATTAATATTAAATAATTATAAATTCGGTAGAAGTTACAGAATTATAACTTCTGCTAATATTAATCTTCTCCTAAATAATTTTAGTCATTTCAAACGCCCTTTTTTTTATCATCGTTTCTTCGTTACTTTCTTTTTTTTAACGCGACAAACGCAATTGTTCAATTTTTGTTTTGTTTCATTTGAAATTAGCGCGTGACGTAGCTCGGTAGATATAAAATAACATTTGTTATATATTGTTATCGGAAAGTAGTACAATTTAGATATGTTCAATAGCTGTACCGAATAGTTTTCCGAAATGTGACGTTTCAAAAATTACGCCGCATATTGAAGCAGGCTCGGGGTCATCCAGAAGTAGAAGTGGCGGTGGTCAGCACGTAAATGTTGCAATTCTTGTGCACTCTTTTAATATGCCGGCAGACATTGGCCTTCCACTTGCCGCGATAATCGCAGTGAGGACACTTGAAGCGCGGCTCCTTACCGCACTCGTTACGCAAGTGTCTCTTCAGAGTACACTTCCACACGAACGTGCTGGGGCAATTTGGACACTGAAACTTCTTGTCATCAGGCAAACGACCGTAACGTTCCGCTTTTTCCCGAAAGAAATGTCGTAAGATACCTGTGAACATAAAAAAAAAAAAACAAATTTCGCTTGATTATTAAGCGCGTCAAAATGGAAACGCGGTTAGAAATATCGAATACTTGGAAATATCGAGCCATTAAATATGAAAATTTAACAAAAATATAAATATATATATGTATATTTTTGTTAAGTTTCATACTCAATGACCCAATGTTTCTAATTGTAATTATAAATATTTCTAATTGTTTTTTCTCGTGTTGTAATTGTTTTTCTCTACATTTTCTTCTTAAACTATCGTAAACATATAACTCGTTGTACGTAGGACGGAGAGAATCGCATTGACCTAATCCGTGAAAAACTCTGAAACAGAGATAAGGAAAACCGTAAGATTTTATGAGTGTGATTGTATTTGACACGCTCTTTTCAACAATTTCACTTCATCATATTTTGTTTCTCTGACATGTCACGTAACGATATCTGTATTTTCTCAACGATACAGATTTAAATGAGAAAGTGATAAATAAATCAAAACACTTTCTGTGAACTTGAACCCCGCATATGAAGATGTAACAAGTGGAGAACAGATCAAGAAGACACGTATACGGAAATCAATCTTAGAGCATATAAAAAACGACGAATCGGTGTATGTAAATTTTTATTTATTATTTTGTTTCAAAAATATAAGATACACGAACATATAAGTTCCAAAGAAACAAATTACGCCCATCTTCCTAATTTATGCCAATATCGATGCACTGCACGGCGCAGCCTTTATGAGACTTGCGCACGTGCTTGTAGACATCGGATGTCCATCTTGAGCGAAACCAATTGCAATAAGGGCACTTGAAGCGCGGTTCTTGCTGGCACTCGTAACGTAAATGCCTCGTGAGGGAACCGCGATGGGTGAAAGCGCTCCCGCAATTGTTGGTGCAGCAATATTTTTTGTGCGTAGGAATACTTTGGCGAATCCAGCGGCGATTGATTTCTGAGACAGCAGGCAGCCAAATAACGCAAGGATTGATTTCTGTAACAAAAAATTCGTAACGGAGCGATTGATTCACGTCGTTAGTCAGAACAAACTGGCAAGACACTACTTTTTCACCTTCAACAAACTACTTTTGTCAAAATCAGCGTAAACATCGGGATAAGGATTCGTGAGATCTTCTGTCGCGTTCGCATGACAAATAAAAACAAAACGACCAAAATAACAAACCTTTTCAATGCATTGATATTTCTTACCTAAAAATATCGTAAATATTTAACACCTTACACATCCGCAAAACAAAAGAAACTCTAAAAAAGAATTAACTTGTGGAAGATGCCGCGCTATGTAAAGCTTGTGTGTGTGTGTGTGATACTCTTTCTTCCTCTTAAGTTATTACAACGCATCCAAAATTAGTTTTTTTTTTTCTAGTTTTTACTAGTTTTATATAACCACGCGTGCTCAGACAAGTAGTATTAAACAATAAAAAAAGAAATACATATGTATATACAGCATAAAGCTAGGATGTTTTAATAAACAATAATTTATTTTTCTAATATATCAAATATTCACAGGATCTGCAAAATTTGCATGTCAATCTATGGTAAAAACGCTTAATGTAAGTATATCATGTGAACGACTCGTTAAATTAAAACGTGCGTATACGTGTGTGCGTATGTAAAACTTGGAAATATTATTCTTCGTCTCGGTTGACTCCTATTCTTGGTGCATACGTAGAACGTAGACTTGCTGATCCGGATGTATCCTGCGCACGTGAGATCTCACGTTGGACGCGTGTTTCGTTCGATACGTGCAGTAGGGACAATTGAATCTCGGCAACTGGCCGCACTGGAACTTAAGGTGATGATACAGATTGTTCTTGCGTGTGAATCTGTGTCCGCACTTGTGGCAAGGATAACTCTTCCTCATTCCGTTGGTGGTGAAGAGTGCCGGTGAGATTTCTGGGAACAGAAAATTTTACAGCGTATAATTTGAGGCGAAAAGGCGAAGCACGGGCTTTAACAGAATTATCGCGATCTTGAAGCTTTATATCGTGCGAAACATTGCAGAGTTCCGTTCACTGTTATTAAATATTGTGCGAATAGAGTGTTTTTTATGTTTAATAAAAGAAATAAGAAAAAAACCCAGCCTTTGCAATCTGGTGCAAGATAATCTACAATTAATTAAATCAATAAAGTGCAATAATATTATTATTTTTATATTATCATTTTATACATGTTTATTGTTTATGTATATTTAAATACGAAACTTGTGTTATTACTATTTTGTGGGAATTAAATAATCGATCTATCTAAGATAAAACTTGTTAGTAATATTGTACACTGATCTCACGCTGAAACCGCTAAAATCCAGAGTTTATTATTTAATAATTTATTATTATTTTTTATTTTTTTAAATGTTTTCGCTACCAGACACTGAAGTTATTATTAACTATGTTACATTCTATGTTACGTCTCTTTTTATTAACATTTGAATAAGAAATCCGAATAATTTTATGCTATACAAAAAAATTCAATAGTAAAATCAATCTCTTAAAATACACTTTCTGAGAACAGACTCATTAGATCATTAGTTGATATAATAAAATTAAAGCTATAAAACTTAGATTCAAGAAAATTTAAAAAATCTTCAACTTTTAATTAACGAAGCTTGCGTTAATATTTGCGAGAGAATAACGAAAAACGATAACGAATCGTTAATACAATTATAATAGTTGTGTTCCTGGTGTGTTGCCCAGGATGTCGTAGGCTCGCAAACAGAGATGCTTTCCAAAAGTCGACATTTGCATATTGAAAACACAATAATACTTACATTTATTATAGCATTACATAATATAATATAAAAAGTATAACCAAAAATATATTTTTCTCTTTAAATATTTCAAACAAAGTATCTAGGCAAATAATTTCTTATGAATTTTTATCACCTATAAATCCAAGTCAGTTGTCGAGTTGTAATTATTTATATTAAAAAAAGAAATATATAAATTTATTTAAGATCATAATTATGTTACTAATATCAATACACTTGCAACATTTTTGCGTCTAAATGTTCGTATGATAAACGCATCAAAACTCTAACATTTATTCGACTAGACTTGTTTATTGCTGTATGAATTTGTGTAATTGTTTTCTTTTTTTTTTCAAATATTATCTAAAACAGATAATATCTTCCAGATAAATATCACATTGAAAAACAAATCTAAACTTTTTTGTATGCTCATTGTTAACAAATTATTTTTTACTGTTTATTATTTTAATTTTATTTTTTGTAGTAAATATTATTATATATTATGTATGTATATAATACAATATTTTGAATTGTATACACGGTATAATACTACCAAAATCTAGATATTTAAACTACACAAACTCACAAAAAAAAACTCTCCTCCCTCTTAAAGTAGGCCAGTTATAATTATTTTATGAATGTAAAATAGAAGATCAGTCAACACAGCTCACGTATGTAAATCACACGCACAAGTGTATACAAATATGTACAGAGAAGTGCATTATATTGTTCCGCTCCAGAGGAAGTACTTCTCTGAAATTTCTCTTCTGGCTGTTCCTACTACTGTGCGTCGTACTCCTTCGGTCTCCATCCAACGGCCTGAGAAGGAAAACGCACTAGTAGAAGCAGCCAAAGAAGAAATTTCCGAGAAATACTTTCCCTGGAGCGGAACGATATGGTGCGCTCTTCTGTAACTGCTCGTTTTTTTTCATTCAAATTTTAAATATACACTTATATATTTTTTCCGACATTATCTGCAGAAAAATTACAAAAAACTCTTTTCTCAGTTAAACAAAAAACAAAAGTGTAAAAAACATCTCATATCGCAGTGCACAGATATTTTTCGATTTTCTACTACGCGCCCACATCGATGGCAAACACTTCGTGACCGGGGTGTTTTCTGCGCACGTGTGCTCGCACGTTCGACACGTGCTTGGTGCGGTAAACGCAATACGGACAATTGAATCGCGGCAATTGGCCGCATTCAAACTTCGAGTGATAGTAGAGATTGTTCTTGTGACTGAAGACACTCGGACACCGAGGGCAGGGAAACTTTGGCTTATCAATGTAAGCACTTTGGTTGCGTGGGCATCTCGACCCACGTGTATATTTCTTCGATTTAACAGGCACGAAGGTAATCAGGTTATCTGAAACAGAAGCAAAAGAGATGTTCAATCAGTGATTGTTACGATTTTACGACAGTTGAGTTCAAAACTTATGCGAAGACTTTGATGCGATCCGAATCAATCAGAATATTGCGGAAGAAATGTTCTTTACGGAAATTTTTCAAATCGCCGAAACAAATTTGTCGTTGAGATCGAAAAGTTTCTACTCTGGCATTCTATTCTGCGCTCGAAGAAATTCAAAAATTTTACTTTGCTGAAGAACTGCACACAACTTCGATACTTTCCGATTTCATACACGTATATAACTAATGTAAACTTCAATAAATAAATAATGTGTGTAGTTCTCGACGTTTCGTGAATATCTTGGTTCACACTTTGTCAAGAAACGAACTGAAATGTTCACGAAGCATCGGTATATAAAACGGCACAGACGCAGTTTCAACCTGAAAGCCATGCGAAAAGAATTGTTAAAATGCGCCGCAAAAGCATCATAACTATAAACAAAAAATAAAATGTAACAAATTATTACACGTAAATATATAAAACTAAATAATAAATAAATTATATAAATTTCGCGGAGATATATAAATACAGTAAAAATGTAAAATTCAATAATAGCGTTTTATTTCTTATACATAACACGTAACGTGTATCTACAGTTTCCGCGTATAATTCACGCTTAAAACAAAACCTTCAATAAAAACTGCGTATAAATAATTTGCTAAACAACAAAGATTGTCACTGATTCTTGCACGCATCTCACGCAAATAACATGTCAAATTTCACTGAGAAAGAGACAAAGAAATAAACGAAATGTGACTATCTTTTGTAAAAAGATTGTAACACACAACTTTATTTTCTAAACACTCGAAAATTCTATTAGTATATATCTTAAACTTAATAATACTGATCCTTAATTGTGAGTAACAATATTGAACTATCACACACAACGACTATATGTATCTATGTATATAATAATACACTCGTACGAAATTTAAGATATGTTGTGAAAATCTTGACGATATAATCTAAGCGATGTATGCGTGTGTAATAATTAAACGCTTTAAATAGACGTCTTAAATTAAGTGAAATCTTACGCTACTGTTTTTTTGTTTTTTTTTTTTTTTTTTCAGCGAATATTACTTTACATATGTATACATTTGCGATGTTGTATCACAACAGAGAACACACCAATGTGGTAGCAAATGTGAAATGTGCACAAATGGTATTTCTACTTAATATAACAACACTAAATAATAATTTCTTAAAATCAAATCACTATAATTTAAGCATAAACTATCGCCAGCATTTCGCAATAATACCGAGTAATCGCGATTCTTTGTGTAACTTTATAGAAACAATGACAATAACTTTATTTAATCATTTAATACTGCGCGCCACTATAGTGACTTTTCTCTAAGGCTTAGAGTCTAAGCGATAGTTCAAGATAAAATGCTACTATAGTGGCTCTTATTTTCATCTTGCATCGAGAGCTGCTGAATCGTCATGTCATTGGTATAAGCAGCAATTTTTTACTTTTCTTTGTGATTTTGTTTACTAATATATATTCGCTAAATTATACAGTAACAGTAAAAAATAGCAGATATCGATCGTGCCGATGGTGTATAAAGCACGTTGAGCGGCAGAAACTGGACAGTGATACAACTGTGCGTCCAGCTCGTGCCTGAGCGAAAAGATAAATGTAGACGAGTGACACGTAACAGATAACAAAGTAATAACGCTGTGATTACATCGATACCATGCAATTTGAGAAATTTGTCATAAATAATACTTTTTACCAATCACAATTATGCTCTTCAATCACATTTATGCTTTTCAAAATTTTTTCTTAAAAAAAATAAAAAAAAATTATTGTACAACATATACTTAAATCATAAAGACTATAAATTATCACAGAAGATAATAATTTATTATATTTCTTAACGAAAAGCAAGTATGATATTTCATCTGATTTTTTTGTGGAATTTACATATTAAGATACGTTCTATCTGTTTTCAAAATCAATAATTTTTGTATTTGGAAATATTCTCATTTCTTTTCGTTAAAGCTGACGATGATAAAAAAATTAAAGAACAAAAACGTACCAACATATGTGGTTTGATTATTGAAAAATTGCTTCACCAACACGTTTCACTAGTTTCTTTTTTAGTTCGTTTTTTCTTCACTTGGATTTACACATTAAAACTAATTGCGTCTGTGTAAATCTTGCAATTTGATTCACGACTAAATTCATATATAACAATCCGTAAAACACTAGTTTTGGCACTATTTTCCGTGGTACGTCTTTCTTAAAAGTATCAGCGGACACTGTCTTCGCGGCACAGCCAACGTCTATCTTCTATCGTAGTCTATTTCTTCGAGCGAACTGAGGGAATTCGCGAAACAAGAGGCGACGAAAGCCCGAGATGTCCTGTGCGTATCACTGAAAAAAAGAGAAAAATACCCGTATCTATGTAATACAATTCGCACTCGTGATTAATGTACTGAGGAACAAGAGATTAAAGTCTTCGATCTCTACCGTTCTTGTCGGATGCGACGTTGATTTTTGACGACAGATCATCTTCGTACGACGTTTCGAGTGTACCGCACGGTGCAGCAAGCTGTTCTCTTTGGTCTTCGCGTATCGTCGTTCTTCAGGATGAGAGACAGTCTTGCCGGACGACGCGCGACCTCAGAGATTGCGCCGCGGTTGCTGATACTGCGTCTGACTGGACAGATGCAAATCGGTGATCTGCATGTCCTGTCCTGGATGGCATTTGCGCACGTGTCGGCGGGCGTTCGAGATGTGACGGGCGACATACGTACAGTACGCGCACTTGAATCGGGGCGGCTGGCCGCACTCGTACTTCTGATGATACGTAAGACCGCCCTTCCGCTTGAACTCGCTGCTGCACTTGTCGCACGGATACGGCTTCGCCAGCTTCTGCCCCGTCGAACATCGTCGATGATCGTCGATCGCGATCGCCGAAGGAAACGACATGTCAAAATCGTACGTCCGCGTGTGCGTAAATGTGGACGACAACGGGACGATCATACAGTGTCAGTCTGCAACACAAACAGGCGCGTCGATCCCGTCAAAGTTTCGATTGTACCGCGACACGTGATCCGATGCAGATAGATAGGATAGAAAAAAAAGATGAAGAGTTGAAAAAAGAGGTGATTTTTGTTTTTAATGGAAATTGTGCGTGTGTGTTAAACTTTCTTCGAATTGCAGACAATTTTACGGTAAATGATGAAGGGAGTGTGCCAACGATCTTCCTGTGCTTAAAAACAAGTCGTCAGTGATTCTGGGTGACGTGGGGATCTCATGCGATCGTTTTCTTCCGTTAGGCGAGTTATCTTAAACAAGGAACTACCGAAAAGTAACAAGAGTCATGTTCGCAAGTCATGTTCGCAAGTCATGTTCGCAAGAATGTTTTTATGCAATTTTATTCTCTAACTAAATAACAAAGCTAGTATTATATATTGACTAAATATAATATTGACTTTCTGTGCGCGACAAGAACAAAGCGAAGTAATCACTTCGGAAATGATCACTAGAGAAAGACGAAGCAGTTTGATAAAACTGCTTCTCACGTGCACGTAGACTTAGTGCTAAGTACACGGAAATGTCCCAAGAGTATTTTAAACACACCAGCCTCGTGTGTTAAGCTAAGTAAGCTTGTTCGATAAAAATGATTAGAAGACGTTCGCTAGTGAGACGCGTATCACATGGACTTCGCAGCCGAGGTGCTTTCTGCGCACGTGAGCACGTATGTTGGACGATTTCTTCGAGGCGTAGTTGCAGTAAGGACAGCCGAAGCGCGGCAGCTGCCCGCACTCGAACTTGACGTGCGAGTAGAGATTGTTCTTCCGGCTGAAGATGCTCGAGCACTTTGGGCAAGGAAACCGCCCGATGTTAGTAAACTTCGCTTCGGATAGCATCTTGGAGCCGACCACCAGATCTGCAAGAAAACGTTCAGAAGACGTACGTCAGAGCTTCGTCGGAAGGTGTCGCGTCCATTTAATTTGATACTGCGAAGAGACGGAAAGAGACAAATACAGATCAAGAATGTGTAACGATATCGGGAGATACTGTCATCCCGAAAATATCTCGTTGTGTGAGTTGACTTCGGTTTGTCACGTTGGATTCATGGATGTGTCCTTGCTGTAGTAAATAACAAAATTCATTCATGCAAACGTAAAAAACTCGCAGTTTATTCACGTATATATACATACGTATATATGTATATACGTATACGTATATATATATATATATATGTTCTTATAAAGTTATTTAATAAAAAAGAGCAATACATTCTTATATAAAAACACCAACTTTATGCACAATTGTATGTTTTGATTGTCGTTAATTAAACTTAAATGTGACCTTCAAATCTTGTCTCTAAATGACTTTTGACAATTCAAAGTTTTCCGAACTGCCGATCATTATTCGATTCACATCGATCTTTTTTCACATCGATCACAAAGACGTCATTGCTGCTGTGAATCCCGCGTATGTGCGCGCGTACATTCGAGGTCTTCTTCGAACGGTAGTTGCAATAAGGACACTTGAATCTCGGCGACTGGCCGCACTCGTACTTGAGATGTTTTTGCAGGTTGTTCTTCCGGTTGAAAACGCTGGTGCAGTTCGGACAAGGAAATTTGGTTTCAAGTTGCGACCTCGGTGGCGTCTCCATCTTGTCGAAGAAACCACAGTCAATGGGAAAAATTGTGTCTGCAAGAAGAAAAAAGAAGTGCAAAACACGAACGGCTACGCAGTACTCGCACGATAAAAACAAAGTCACGAAAAAAGTATATTAAAAACTTATGTTAAAACATAATAAAATAGACAACTTGTTTCTATCTATAATATGTATAACGTGAAGTTGAACACGCAAAGAAACATCTGCTCCAAATGTAGACAGCGTTTCGTCCAAGAATCTCCTTTTGCGATTGTTAGAAATTGTTATTTTATTAGACAAAACGTATTGTTACGTATTTTGCTTCATGCATTCGCACGGTTACTTAGTGTGAAATTAATGTTCAAACAAAAGTAGAATGTCATTAATGGCGAAATGATGAAAAACCAAAGGCGCGTTTTGTGTACATTTTGCTACATCTTCAGTAAGTCGATACACCAAACCGGCTGGCCGTGGTGTTTACGGCGCACATGTTTGTAAAGATTCGACATTAGTTTCGATCGGTGACTACAGTAAGGGCACTGGAATCTCGGCGCCTGGCCGCACAAATAGTTCAAGTGTTCCCGCAGACCCCGCGCCTTTCGGAACACGCTCCTGCAATTTGGACAGCGAAAAATCCGTCCGCTCGCGCTCGTTTTCTCTTCGAATCTGTGAACTGAAAAACACAAGTTTTTCGTGAAACAATCGCACTCGCTCTCTCACCTTTTTTTTTGCGCGCGATTTTTACCTACGTATCGAGTGATATATATCGAGATAAAGCTCAACTTCTCTTCCAAACAAAGTCCCATGACCCAAAAGAGACTCAACGCACGTTTTAAAAAAACACACGCACACACACTCGAGAAATGCACATTTGAAAAATTATTAAAAAAAAAGTCTGCGACTGGCAATCAAATTTCTACAAATTCGGCGGTTCGAGATTAAAAGACAGTTTCATAAGGCATGCGGCGGTAGCTAGTTTCTGATCGAAGATCGGACGATCGACGAGTGGAGGGTTTCGGTGAATTCATTGACATTTAATTCGGGGTTTAGTTTTATTTTACAAAAAAGCTCTGAATTTATTATATTTTAAAATTACGTATATCTAACATCAAAATGTCGTCGTCGTTATATATTCGAATTTTGGATTCTTCAGAACGTAAACGTCGTTGCCCCGATGTTTCCTCCGTATGTGTATCCGCACGTTCGAGGTCTTCTTCGAGACGAGTTCGCAGTACGGGCACTTGAAGCGAGGAGGTTGACCGCATTCGAACTTCATGTGCCTCATCAGATTTGTCTTTCTGTTGTAAACACTGTCGCATTTCGTACAACCGTACAAACATACCTTGGATTTGAAGAGGCCGCTCTGTGTCAATCTGAGGGACGCGTCTAAAGCACCTGAAAACAAAAGTCAATGTCAGTTGCGTGTGCCGTGACTCGTTCCGCGCGTTGGAATATTTCTTCGTTCTTCCATCGTTACCGTCTATATTAGCGCAGTGTTGCTAGATTATAAGATACAAACATCATGTATACATAATCGAAGCAAGACAAGTCGAATCTCAAAATTAGTTTTGTCAAGTTTGATGGATTCAACTTTGCACAATCGTCTCCAACATCGTCTCCGCACAATTACAAGTGTAATAATTTCCAGGAACACACATACGACTCATGTGTGTTCCTGGAAATTATTACATTTGCAATTGTGAAGAACACTGACAATATGTAACAATTTCCGTCTAAAAAACGCACACATACACACACACATACGCAACACATCTTAAGACCGATTCTCACTTCGTACTCGAAGCGCAATCAGATCACGGTCAAATCAAAAAGAACAACAGCACGTCGCTTGATTCTGTCGTATTCTATAATAATGCAAATTCAATAAAACGTTGAATTTCAGAAAAAAAAACAATCAAGTTTGACTGGATCGTGATCTGACCGCTCTAGTATGAATGAAAACATGTAAGGACTCTTTAGGATGTAACTACATATTGCTATTCATATATTTATACGTCTTCACATACAATATGTTTATCTATATACACGTACCCAAGTTTTGAACTTTTATACATATTGCGTATTTGGAAATCGACAAATGTCTATGACATAAACAACAGAGCCGTCATGTTTTCGGCGAATGTGTTTCTGTATATTCGACGTCTTTTTAGATATCAAGTCGCAATACGGGCATTTGAATCGCGGTGGTTGGCCACATTCGTATTTCAGATGCGTGACAAGACTTCCCTTCCGTTTGAATTTGCTTGAACAGTAATTGCACGGATATTTGCCTGAAAAACACCACGTATATATAAATTAATACCACATACTTCACAAGATAAAATACAGTAAACAAAAAAAAAGAAAAAAATCAATAATCGTGTGCATAAGTAAATTTGTAAGTCTAAATACTGTTAAAAAAGATTCATGCGCCTTGCCAGGATTGAGATAAAACTTTTCGATTTTTTTTAGTTGCTTTCAAGCTTACGTTTTAGTTTTGCCGCGCTGTTGCGAGAGAAAAAATACGCGCGTCTTCGTGGGTTATAAAAGTATTTACAGAGAATTTTATATATACATTGTAAATATATATTGTGGATGAGGAAAATATAAGGATCTTTTTAAACATTGTCAGAGAGAATAATCGTGCTGACAAACAAAAAATCTTTTTCGAGTGATTTTAATAAAGAAACTTTATTGCAAGAAATTTGTCGATCGTGAAATTTATGGAAATATGTATTACATGTACAAATACTTTTTCACATAGAAACTAACGTTGTCGATGTAACTATCGATCGAACAAACTAATTTGTATTCTCGTGCGTTTGCGAGCGCGCGCAGTTACTTTTAAATATTTTATAATACTAGCACAACACAAGCGCGCGCTATTATTATTTTCATTTTCATGTGTTGCATCAGTGAACACAACCTGTCACCGCGATGACAGCTAATATATACATCTTATAAACTATGTAATACACCTACGAGAGATGTCATAAATAACGCATAAAAATCAAACTCAAA